CAAATGTTTTACCCGAGATGAGAGAGAGAGAGTGAGAGAGGAAATCCGAAATAAAGTTTTGTTGTGTGTGGAAATTAACCCAATTTCCGTGCTACTGAGGGGGGATAAAAAAAGATGCAGAAAGACGGAACAGTACGAAACGGAGGTGATTCCTTGGCCAAAGGCCATCGGCCACAAAGCTATAAGCCATCGCCATCAGCCATAAGCCATAAGCCATAATAATAAACAGCAATCAGGCATCCGATCTTCTGGGCAGCGTGAAAAACAAACCAGAAATTCGGAAAATGTTGTCATTGTTTTGCTTTTTGGGGACGGTGATTTTGTCATGTGAGAAAGTCGTGCCAAATGCAGATCTGCAGATATTTAACCATTATCCAAATGACAATTATCATCGCTCCGCGCCACCCCCACTGGAGGGTGCCCCGCAGCCCCAGATGATGATGATGATGATGATGATGTGATGATGGAGCGAAATCCAATGCCACTACGAAGTACTCGTACTTTCCAGACGTGGAGCATAACAAATGCAGCAGCCACAGCAGCAACAGCAAAGCGCCACAAATTGTTGAACAAATCTATGCAATTTGTACACTGAATGAATGAATGAATGAAACGCTGCCCTCTCTCCCCTGCACTCTTTTCATTACAGTTTCCATCTCTCATTATAAATGGCATAAGACACATTTTCAAGCTCATTTTTTCCCCACTTCATTTTCTTTTCTTTCTGTCTTTGCCTTGAAAATCCAAGCCTCCATTCCGCGCAGACAATACCAAGTTGAACTTTGGAGTTTGTGGCCAAAAAGAGGGGACAAAAGATGGCCAAAGAGTGGATATAATGGATATAGTACTGCTCTAAAAGACCTTAATCGAATTAGTCGCAGACTTTGGGTGCTCTTGGAAGTGTGAATAATTTTTGGAATTTCGGCATGAAATTAGTTTTACTCCTTGGGGCAGTGAAAGATTAAGATTCCAATAGATTTTCCTAATCGAAAATCAAACAATTCAGACATGGAGGCCAAATAAATCTTTCAACTAATCACGGTTGAAAGTAACTTAATATCAAAAAAAAAAAAAATCAAACAAAATTCTTTTAAATCCCTTACCTACTGAATCTTTAAATATTCGCCAGATATTGTACGAGTATTCAGGCTTCAATTGGCTGCCTCCACCTCCCATAGTTGTACTTGCTTCATTGTCTTTTTCACTTCCTGCTGGTGCAACAATCGACAAACAGAAATAACTTCATTTTTGTGGACATCGAACGAGGGTAAAATGTTGATCGTTGGACAAATATGTGGAAAATCTGTAATGAGAATGCGGGGGATTTTCCCAGCGATGCATGAAATGCTATTTGACCCCCCCCCCGACGATGATGCAGTGCCTCTCTCGCTGGCGGTTTGGTTCTAGCGCACAAAACAATTTAAATATCAAACAAGGGACAGAACGACATACCTCGATACGGCTATACGGGCTGTTGCTGCTGGATGGGTTGGATGGGTGGGGTGGGGTATGGGTGGAATTGGTAATGGGAGACGAGAGCCAAGTTTTTGCTGTTGCCCGAGGCCTGGGAATCCGCCATCTACCCCTCTGGCACCCACTCCGCTCTCTGCCACATGTGGAAACCCTTTGAAGCACACTTGTTGCATACGCTGCAACCGGTGCCCCCCCCGTACGCCTGTCTTTGGCTGGAAATTACTGGAGCATGCAACTGTTTGTTGCTGTTTCTGTTTCTCTGTTTTCTGCTGATTTGAAATGCAGATTCCTGCATCTTGTGGCTTTATTTCATTTAAATATAAATAGCCCTCATTTGATGAGGAAGGAAAGGCGGCAGGAAGGCGTAGGAAGGAAGGGTGTACTCTGGGTGACCTACAGTGAGTTTCAAAAGTGTAGCTAGAGTTTTTTTGTATCTAAAAAGAGAGAGAGAGAAGTAAGCCGCAAAAGATATTGGAAGGGAATTAAAATAATAATAATAAATAATATATAATAAATAATATATAATATATAATAAATAATATATAATAAATAATATATTATAAATAATAATAATAATATTTTGGTAGATCAAGGGCTATCATAGATACAAAGATATTCTCTTAATCTATGATACTTCCTTCCTTTCAGATATTGTGCAAATTCTATGTTCTTCGATCAATCAGAAGATGTGTTGAAATGTACGAGTAAATAAATGTAGATATTCCTTTCTATATATGCGTGTGACAGCAGCTTTTCTTTGGATTCTAGATCCCACATACTCGTACATACATACATATGTACATATGTATTTCTGCAAATGCAAATTCAATTGACATTTCATTTTGTTGGCAGTCGAAAGACTTGGAAGACGCTGCTTCAAAGGCAGACGACGTGTTTTTTCCAAGCCAAAAGCAAAATTCTTGGCTAAAATGAGGTCGTACTGCATCTATCCTCTCTCTCCCCCCCTCTCTATATCTTTCTCACCATCTCTCTTCAGCGTTTGTTTGTCTGCGAATTTAAATTAGATTTGTTTTAGGACTGAGAACCAGAACTACACCTACTCTACTGAAAGACGGAGAGCAGTGGAATGGGGGGAATGCAAATTAGTTTTGAGCCAAGAATTTGTTGGGGGGGAATGTGGGAATGTGTGGGAGATTACACTCAGACCCGCACGAGTGTGTGCTACGAATGTATCTCCATCTAACTATGCCTTAAAAGATTGTTTGGGAATTGGATTTCTGATTGCATGGCAGAGGCCAGAGACCAGAGGGAGTAGTCATGCCCATGCTCCTTGTTATCTTTTGTCTGGGAAGATGAACTAATTTTCGTTGCAGTTTTCCGTTTTCACCCCAATTAAAACTTACAGAAATTGCATTAAAATTGTACGATAATTGGTAAATTGGTTCATTCTTTTTTTTTATGGGAATAGAGCAGAAGGAGAGGGAGCAGACTCTCTTTGAATATTCTCATATGCAAAATTATGACGGAGAATGAAGGGAAATCGACCTGACAGCCCTTTTTCTGACTTGAGAATGGATTAAGGAGAATATTAAAGAAAGAACGAAAGAAGTGTGAATGAAAACCATGAAATTTCTATCTACTTTGTTAGAGGCAAAGAAAGTCTTTGGGCGAAGAATGTGAACAATTTTGAATTCAAGTTTTTTCGTGGACATTATTATTATTGTTATTATCCGAAAATGTCCCTTAATCTTTAAATTAATTAAATCTTCGAATAAATAATGAATAACCATCCCATTTTCACCATTGCATTTTGGATTTGGATGAGGGAAAATACTTTCATCCACCGCTTTCTGCAGTGGCCTATCCAGCTGCATCGCTCCCTCCAGCCTCCCTCTATAATACCACGCTAAATGTTGCTAACATAGTTGTCTCTCTATACTCGTATAATCCAACAAATCCAATAATAAAAAAAAACCAACCCAATCCTAAAGAAAATAAAATTAATTAACAAGCGTAAAATTGGAATATGACCGCAAATTTGGTTGCACCATAAAAGGGAGAGACAAACCATGGCTCGGGGGTACCGCTGCAGTAGTTTGGAGTGGGCATGGCCAGCTGTTAAGACCGCAAATGATAATTTTACAGTGCGGCAAACATTAAACAATTGCAACAACAACAACAAAATTAAACAACCAAACCAACATTTCAAATCAAATTTGATGAAAATTCAGAATTTTGTATTCGGTCATTTGTCTTTTTTGTTGTTTTGTTTTTGGCTACTGTGGAGCACTGGAGGGGCGATGTGGGCGTGGAAAATAGGCTAAGAGAGTGAGATAGAGACAGAGATTGTAAGAGGAGAGATGTTACATCATGGCGCAAAGTGTGGGCCGAAAAAAAAAAAGAGTAATGGAGGTCGAAATATGAATTGTTTTTCGGGTTGTAATTGTTTTTTGCTTCGGTTTACATTTTTTTGTTTTTGCTTCTTTTAACCAAATGCTTCGGTAATATTTTCCACACTAATTTGTACCCTGTAAGCAGAGGAGTGTTCGGGTATATTGATTACTACTAAGTGAAGCTCAAGTTAATGCTTTTTCTCATTAGAAAGAGAGATGATTAGATTAGGGGTGGGTACTCTGAACTTGATTTGTAAGCAGATTTTTCCGCTGTAAATAAGTTAAAATTCGAATTTTTATTTTAATTTTTAGTATTTCACTCTAAGGTATCGTAGAGTACTAATCTTAGGGTGTCTAGCCTAGGCTTGCAGCCTAGGGTATCTTACATGTCTTTATCCTGAAGATATTTACACCTGGGGCACTTTTTCCTCCTCTGTTTTCCCCTTTTTTGGTGAGATTTTTCGAGCTGTGGGTCAAAGTCTTTTGAAAAAATGATGTTATAAAAGAAAAAGTAAACCGCAACGGGTCGGTCGGACACTAAAAGCTACGACTATACGAAAATAAAAGCCAAGTTATATGAAAATATGGACATGAGACATGGACGTAAACGAGTTCTTCTCCTCCCTGTTCCTCACCTCTCACACCATCACCCTCTCTGCAGCATATGTGGAAAATGTGAAGTATACCAGAAATTTATTTATTTTATGTACAAAAAGTAAAGCGAAAACTAAAGCGGATAACTATGAAAAAATAAAGAAATACAAATTTAATAAAGCAACAAGAGAGGGGGAGAAAAGAGTGGGCTAGGGATAGCGAGGAGTTGGTGGGGTCTCACACAGGGGAATTGTAAAAATAATTTTCTCTAATTAATTGTACAACTTTTGTGGGGTTTGTGGGGGGGTAATATGATGTGTTGTGTGGCTGAAGTTGCTTTCCGCTTTTGGTGAAACATTCCTGCTGCATGGAAAAGCGTTGAAAAATGTGGTGCCACCACTGGACCTCCACCAAGTTGTTGTCCAACACTTGGACAACATTTTTCACATTACTTGTATTTGTTTCTTTTTTTTCTTTTATAATTTTTTAAAAACTAATTTAACGCGCATTTCTTATGCATTATTGAACGCCGATGGCCATATAAATATTATATGTATTTATTTGTGACAACATTTGCAGGATTCCAGCAGCACCAGTAACATCATGACGGTGAGAGCTGCCGCACCCAGCTGCCACAGCCACCAAAGCCAGAGCTACCACAACCACTATGACTTGCAAACACAGCAGCAGCAGCAGCCAATGCAACAACAGCAACAACAGCATCCACTAAATGTCGAGGCTGTCATATTGCAGAATCAGGTGGATACGTTGCATTGGCAATTGAAACAGGTGAGTGCCTGAATGAACAGAATGAGTGCCATTCGAGGGGCCATTCGATTTCTGGGCCCAAAGAAATAACAATAACAAAAGACTTGAGACACGAACGTGACTTGTAGTTACCTCTCTCGTATCTCTTGCATTTGGCATGCCCCACACCCCACACACACCCTATATCTACCAGCAACCTCCTCCATGCGCCTACATGCGGCGGACTACTGTTCTCCATGGATCAACCTGTTTTACCCCCCCTACCCTCTCGCTGTCATTGCTATATCTTTTTTATTTAAATAGTTCTCACGCTTAATTTACAAGTGGAATGGAATGAAAATGGAAATATGTGGCATGAGATGTGTGTGTGTGGAATGATTCCTATTCCGGTTAAGCAGTCTATCGTGGCTTGTTATGGCATTTCCTTTCCATTCTATCTGCTGTGCCCCTCTGCTGTTCCCCTGCTCCTGTTTCTACTTCTATTATATTCTTCCGTCTGTTAGGGCATCTACATCCCCGGTAACATTCCGACTTTGGCCGCTGCCTAATTATAGACGACTCTCTCGCGGTGTGGCCTCCAGCCATCCCATCACACCATCCTCTGCCACATCTTCTAGATTGCTTTATGCTTTGTTCTGGTCATCCATGGTCATCATTTCATTGTCTTTTCTGGCCATTTCCTCTACAGAAACAACAGCAGCAGCTGCTGCTGCATTAATTGTATACTTCCTTAAAAAAGTAAAAGAGATAAAACCAAAACAAAGGTTTGTTAATGGATCCTCCCCTGCTGCTGGGGTTTCAGAAAATTCAAGAAATGTGCACTATGGTAGGAGGAAGCTCCTTCGATTAATATCATTATTTTGTGACTACTCAATAATAATACGTTTGTGAAAGAATCCAAAGAACAATCCATGGAATGGCGATTCGAAGGGAATTGCTCTATGATTGAAATCCAATTTATTTCATCAGCTGTGAAGAGCGCACAAATGATGGGAAATGGGATCTATGGTACATAATTATGGAATTATAAGTATAAGGAATTCAAAGATCATTAAATACATACTTCTGTATATACATACATGTGTATGTATGGGTTTGAATTATAGTAGAATTCAATGGAACTATTCTCAGACATAAAATGTCGAACATTTGTACAGTTCTATTGAGTTTTTGAATGAAAGTCGATTAGATATAAACTCGGGCATTAAGAAATTAAAAAGGCGAATATTCTATTCATAGATCCCATTGAAATTTAATGCAGATATACGAGTACTGTCGAGTATAGGAAAAATTCTAAGATGAAAGCTAAATAGTATTCAAGGCTGGAAATGCATCTACGAATTGTACGAAAATTAAAGTTTTATAAAGTATTTGGAGGAATACATGTACTCTCCCAACAAACTGTTTTGCTGTGCAGATCATTAATTGGACTTCTAATATATTATAAGTGAAGTGAAACTGATTGGAGGAAGCCATGACCCCAATCTCTGATTTGAGCCAACAAAGCCCCATCGGTGGCCCCTAATTGGGGTAACAGAAAACAGAATAGTCACCTTTCAAGAAGAAAGATCACTTTTCACTGCGTTCATCATTTCCACGGGCATCGACTTTTCAAAGTTTTTCCCCCATTGCTGTGCTTTTCTAACCCACTTTTTCGAGGCTTAAAGCCGCTCGCTCTCCGGTCTCATTTTACCGCTCTCTGAACTGGAGAGACCCCACCGATGGATGGATGACCTTCAACGTGAAACACGTTCAGCGTGCAACACTTTCAATTCCCCGCATTCGAAGCGGTTCTATGCAAACGCATATGAACGCCAACGGATGTCCAGATACAAAGATACAAAAGACATAAGAGATACAAAGATACAAGAGCGAAAATATTTACGCTTTCGTTTCGATTTAATGCGCTTTAAATGAGCCCCACAGCCACAAGAGGCCCGTGCCCCATGCCACAGCCTTCAATGATTGAAGGTGGACGCCTCTTGGTAGATGGAAAGCCGATGGAAAATTGCAGAAAGCAAAACGAAACAAAAACAAGAACACAGAAGGAAAATATGGATATGAAAATATGATGTATATTTTCTATACTTTGGTCAGTTTCTTGATGATCGAAAAGTGGGTTAGAGAGAAGGAAAACTACTTGAGGCTGCCTGCCGTGGGTGGACTCCAGATTGATTGATTGATTGATTGATTGATTGATGCACAGTCGATGGGTGGATAGGAAAACAAATTCGAATGTAATTTATGCCGAGCGAAAGGAAGCCAAGGAACCAGAGCCATAGCCAGAGCTGGTTTTGGCCACCTAAATGCCTCCTAAATGAATGGCCTAATGCGGCAAGTGGTGCCACACAGCCACACAGCCAGGAAGTGCGTTCGAATGGGAGGGGCTGCTACTGCCAGACAGAGCGTAAACCCAATCCCCCAATCGGAGAGCTTCTTCTAGTAGATGTTGTATCTTTTATCGCAGCTCCAATTGTTCGATGAGCGAAAAGAAGCAGCACTCGGAGGTGCCAAATTCGTATTTGGAGTGTGCATTTTTCGAATGAAATTAAGCCATAAAAAAAAAAACCATAACAAAATCGAAATCACTCGTAAAGAGCCAACGAATTTCCACACATAATTTTCATATAAATCTCAGACATACACGAAACGAAACCCCCACGAAAAAATTCGTAATCCGCAAAGAAAAACTAAAGGCAAATAAAGAAAAACAACTGCAAAAGCTCTGGCTGACACGCATCGAGGAAAACTCTGCAAACGGAAAACGTCCAATGGAAAAATTAGCAACAATTTCTAAACTGCAGTGCAACAAATGCAGCGGAGGCATTGGCTGTGGCTGTGGCAGCAGCGACTGTCTGTGGCTGTGGCAGCGGCGCAGCCACTTACATAATCAGTGGCCAGAGACCAGCAACATTTTTGGCATCGTGTGAAGTCATGAAGCTCCACCGAAAGCCACCACGAAGCCCCACTCTTTATTTGGTTTTGGCCAATTTTCAAATGGTTTTTGGCGGTGACCGTGTGCCAGGTGGATGAATGGATGGGATGGCAATCTTAACGCCTATTTGAGGTCTCTGCCAATTTGGCAAACGGCGATACGAATTGCATTTGAAAATTAGACTCACATTTGGCTCAAAGCACAAAGAAGTTGATCAAATGATGAGACGACATTCCTTCGGAACGGAAAACGATGCTGCTGCTGGCCCACAGACCCAAACACAAAGAGTGGGGCGGGCATATGCAGAAAGAAAGGCGTGGTGGAGTGGAGAAAGAGCAGCCGGAGCAGAATGGAGAGCGATAACAAATCAAGTGAAAGTTTTTATAGGCTGATGATGCGGCTTTGCCGGCTGCTGGGGCCATAGAAAAATCATGCAAACAATTAACATAAATAACAAATTAAAGTCATTGTCGATGATCGTCGTCGATCGTTCGTTTCAAATGCATTTGGAAGAGTGTCAAAGCAGTGACCAGTGACCCCACAGTGCACAGTGGGACGAGGTCCATGGAGTTTCAGAAGCTGAAAGAGATCTTGATAGGCATCAAAGGCAGAGAACGATATGATCCAGAGAACGCAGCAGAATCTGATGATGAGAGTAGCCAGAAAAGTCCATCCATACAGGCAACCATATAGCGCAATCCTTCTCCTTCCTTCTTCTTTCATAGCTTTCCTCTATCATTTTTCATCTCCTCCCGATCCATTTCTATAACCTCCAAACCATATGATCCTGTCCAGGATGATCCTCAAGAGATCTTTTCCTTTCCTTCCTTTCCTTTTCGCAGACCGAAACCAATTGTGAGATGTACCGCGCTGTCATGGAGGAAGTGGCACGTTTCTTCGAGCGCTACCAGCAGCAGCTGCATCTGCAGCAAGCCCATCGAAACGGGGAGCAAATCGCTCGCTCCAAGAGTCTGCACCATGTGCACGGATTGGGACACGGCTCCATTGGCTCAATTGGCTCCTCGCTTCAGAGTGACCAGCGGGATCCGCTGCTCCTCCACGATGAGGATGCCGTATCCGCCTCGTATCTGCGTGCCAGAAGCAGCACCAATCTTATGCTCAACAAATCGATGCATGCGATGAACGAGGAGCACAACTACGAGCCGATTGCTCCAGCCGGCAGCTACAATGCCTTCAAGGATTTCACATGGTAAGTGGAACTGATTTAGAGATGCAAAAGAGGGTTCAATCCATTAAAATCTCTCTCTCTCTGGATCAGGCGACGCTCTCCTAAGAAAACTGGAGTCTGCAAGGCCCGCCTGTCCGCCCCAGAGGTCGCCGAGGAGAAGCTGAACCAGGAGGCCTTCCGCCTGGCACGCACCATCAGAAATCTGCTGCACACTTCCGAGCAGCAGCCGGATCTCACGCAGCCGCGTCACTCGCTGGCCTCTGGGAACGGAAGCCACATGCCGCATCTCCATCGCCTGTGCAAAGCGAAGACCAGCTCCGTGATGACGCTCCTCCAGACGCCCTCGCGGCACAACTCCACGAGCATCATGAATGCCACCATGGATGTGTCCTCGCCCACCCACTCGGCCGCAACAGCTGGTAAATCGCATGCGGAGATGCTCTTTCTGCGGGCCAATACCATGCGAGACTCGCGCCTCTCGCTGCGCAGCTCCACCGATAGTTCTGTGCATTCCACCATCTCCTCGACGGCCTCCTCCACCTCTTCGAAGATCGAAACGGATGAGGATACCAACAACAACAACAGCAACACGAACAACAGCAACAACAACAACAACTTGACCACAACCGCCAGCAGCACCGCAGCCACAGAAACAGCCATCAGCCACAACAACAAGAAACCACAGCCCACCGCCAATGGAGGAGGATCGAGCAGCACAGAGGATGAGAGTGGCTTCAGTTCGATCAGCTCATTTCACGACGTGGGCCTGCCCCTGAGCTCCACTCTGATTGGAGGCGGAGGAATCGATCATCAGAGGCGTCTCTCTGTCTCCACAACAGACAGCCGCAATTCGACGCTCAAGTCGGGGTCCCTGAATGTCCTGGGGCTTCCCCTCCAGCAGACTACGACTCTAAATCAGAATCAGATTCAGAATACCCAGCAGACCAATACAACAACGCAGCCCTCGAAGACGACGTACAGGAATGCCGGTCGCTATCAGCGCTTCTCTACCCTGTCGAATGAGGATGCAGCTGCTGTGCTGTGGGTCTGAAGCGGCCCAGTCCCCCATATCAAGATTATTATTGTGTGTAGTGTGTGTGCCTCTCTCTTGTTCAGATGTTATGCTTATGCCCTAGAGAGAAGAGAGAACATTTGAGTTTGAATCGATGTTCGATTTGATGTATTCTTTATGTTATTAGAAAGGAAGGAAGGAACGATCGCATTTTTTATGTTAACATTTCATGTAAATTTCATTTTAAGTAAGTCTTAGAGTACATATAAATAAAATGTATAATTTATATAACTACGAAACGAACTACTACAACGTACAACTAGTATCAGTAGATCAGTAGTCTGCTATTCTTGCCTCAATCCATCCCCTTGATGTTGATTGACATACGTTCCAGTCTAATGTCGGACATTTCCCATTTTGAATCAGTTTCTTTTTAATTTCCGGAAATTATTCACTTGACACTCGATACAAGTTTTGGTTTTGGTTGGAATTCTGTTCTGTGCTGTTCTGTAAAGAAGATGATGGCCAGTGCTCAAGTGGCTCAAGCCGGCGTGGAGGAGACTTCGCCGACGCAGCAGCAGGAAAAGCCAACGGAACAGAATGACGACTCTGCGGGGGAGGAGGTAAAAGACACCGATGGGTCATCACCACGACACGTGCGACACCCATTGGAGAACGTGTGGACGCTGTGGTACTTGGAGAACGATCGCACCAAACACTGGAAGGACATGCTCAACGAAGTCGCGAAGATCGACAGTGTGGAGACCTTTTGGAGCCTGTACTACACCATCAGGCCACCATCGGAGCTGAAAGTGGGATGCGACTACTCCATGTTCAAGCTGGGCATCAAGTAGGACACAATCCATCATCCGTTTCCACCCATCTAAATAAATGCTCACTCCTTTGACCCTCTTTCCGAAGACCCATGTGGGAGGACGAGGCCAACAGCAAGGGAGGCCGTTGGCTGATCAGCGTCAGCAAGAGCTCCAAGGCGGAACTGGATCGCCTCTGGCTGGATATACTCCTCATGATGACGGCGCGCATCTTCGATAACTCTGAGGAGATCTGCGGTGCAGTCATCAATATTCGGGCCAAGAACAATAAGATCTGTAAGTGCCAGAAATCACATACACATATATATTTCCATGCACGCTAGTGCTGCCCCTGCTCCTCCTCTTCCAGCCGTTTGGACTGCCAATGGGAGCAATGAATTGGCCATTCTCGAGATTGGCCAGAAGCTAAAGCAGTTCCTCCATCTGCAGTCGAACAATCTGCAATACCAGCTCCACTCGGATGCCATATGCAAGGTCAATTCGAGCGTCAAGTCGATCTACACCGTTTGAAAAGAGGGAAGGGTATTGGATTGCCACGCCCCCCTCTCAGATCTGTTTCGATATATATGCCAAATTTGTTTGCGATATAAAATTACAATTAAAATTTAAAGAAGAAATGCCAGCCATTTGTGTAAAATTATTGTTTAATTATTAAAATTAATATTTTTTTTATAAAATTTACTCAGTAAACATTCACAGCTTGTTGCAGTGTGTGTTGCAGTGTGTCGGGGCAATCTAAATCAACCGAAATCCCTTCGAATCAATCGATCGATCGACGGATAGGAATTCGGATCTCGTTCGTGAACTCGAAAATGCGATTTCTAGATTTCTAGACACTATTCTACGATTGTGTAGGGGAGGATGGGGTTGGGGGGTACACTCACGATTTACGACTACGGGTTTACGGATAACATAATAATATCTCGAGAGGGTGTACTATTTACAGGTTGGATCGTTCAATCGGTCATAATCATATTCGATGGTTGAAGACGGCAAACGCTTCAACATTTGCCACCTGCTGCTGCTCATCGACAAGCGACAAACTTAACGATACATTTACAAACTACAATTACAACTAAACAATTAGTTTTCTGCTCTGTTTCTGATTTGATGTGTGTGTGTTTCTCTGAGATTACGAATTCGAAGATGCGTTGAGGCATGGAATACAGAAATTGTGAGTCGATCACGACTCTAAATGCGACCCACAACGGCCTTGTTCTTGCGCGTGGGCTGCACAGACATTGGCGGCACCACCAATGTTTCCGACTGCGTCGATGGCGAACTGCTTCTCATGCTGGAGCAATCGTCTTCATCGGCCACTTCCTGTGAAAACAACAGCAGAAAACTCTTAGCAAGCGATCACTTTAGAGCAGCTCAGCAGTTACTTACATTAATATTTCTGCAGCTGTTTGCAGCCAAACGCATCTGGGCGAGCTGGGAGGAGGGCGTCAATGAGTTTGTGCTGCCAAAGGGCGAGGTCATCATTGTGGAAACGGCTCGTTTCAGCTTGTTTGGGGTCTTGTTGAAGGAGAAGGCGCGACCCACCTAATGAGAGAGAGAGAGAGAGCATCAGTAAGTGTATTTCCCTTCTGTAGGAGAGAGAAACCCACCTTTAGGCGCGTCTTGGCTGCCAGTTTGAAGGCCTTGCTCAGCGTACTGACATTCACATCGCTGATGTCCACGTCCAGCTCCTGGGATAAGCGGCAGAGCAGCAGCTTGTCCGCATCCGTGCGGCACGTGTGGGCGGCAATCTGGTTGCAGAGCTTCTTCAGGTAGCTGTGCTTGTCCGTCTCCTCGTCGCTGATGGTGAACGTGTAGAGCTTCTCCTTGTCGCCACGCAGCAGCAGGCCAAAGGCACGCGGACTGTCCGAGATGTCGATCACGAAGCGTATCGTGTTGAGGGATATCAGCTTGAGGTGCTTGTGCGTCTTGCCGGTGCTGGGTGACTTGACGGTGTTAAAGCCGCGCGAGCGTCGCTTGCACAACTCGATGGAATCGGAGAAGAGGTACAGCAGGAGGCTGTCCCCCCGCCCGCTTAACGAGTCGGACAGTTCGTTCACCTCACACTTGGCGATAAAGCTGCGGTTAGAGCTGACGAGATGCGCCGGACAACCATCGATATCGTTGAATATATCGAAGATGGCCATGCGCGACTCGGTGCGCCGCTTGTCCTCGTTGATGTGCAGGGTCACCTGTTTGATGGCCTTCAGGGCCTCCTCCAATCTCTCGTGATCCGCATTGCTGTTGCCCGTGTGCTTCAGAATGTCCTTCAGAAGCAGGCTAATGCTGGGCAGCCGCTGCACTGGCCTGATCATCAGGTCCTGCAGACTCTGGCGGCCGCACTCGGGCTTCGTCTGGTTGATCTTTAGGAAGGCATGGAAGCGTGGGTACTCGCGGTCGCAGTACTGCAGCTGCTCCTTCATCTGCTCGTAGAAGTTCACATAGGGCGGATATGCCTTGATCAGCTCCTCCTGGTGCCGGATGATGATCTCCCCGATTAGGCAGTCCTCCCGCCAGTTGGCGTGCAGATTCCGCAGATGCTCCAGCATGCTCTGGTGCACCTCGTGGATGGGCAGAAAGTTGCCAAACACAGATTTGATTTCCGATTTATTGAGCAGCGGATCATTGGTCTCGGCCAGTTCCTCCAGTTTGTTTTTAAAGAGCTACACAAAAGGGGAACACGTACAGGTTAGAATGGGGATGGGGAAAGTACGGGATGCACCTACATTTAAAATGGTATCCAGTATTCCGACATAGTTGGACTCTGTGGTGAAAAAGTCCATAAAGTGGTTGAATCGCATGGATCGCTTCACTGGCGTGCCATCAATGGGTTCCGGTTCGGCGTGGAGCAGCAGCTTGTCGTCGCCGTCCAGCAGCTTGTCCGGACTCGTGGTGCAGTCGAACAGGCTGTTGGAGACGGAGAGGAGGCCGGCATCCGACACGGAGGAGCGTCGTTTGCCCGATCCCAGCGGAGTGCCCTCGAGCTGAATGCGCTGCGATAAACGCTTGCGTTTCCTCTTGTTAAAGCTAACGGGCAGCGAGTCCCGACGATCTGTATTCGGTGTATTCGTAATGCTATCCAAATACTGGCCAGGGAAGACAAATGGTTACAAGATACGGACGTAGGCGTAGACATATGTGGGTACTTACATCTCCAAACAGATAGTCCATCTCATTGGCATAGCCATTCTGTATGGTATACCAGAACCAATCTGATTTCAGGATGTGCGAGTGATAGTTCTTGGGATCGGGCTTCGCGACGGTCGTGTGCTCGTCAACCACCTGAACGAACGATTAAATCGATTCAATTAATTTCGGGCGATTTATTCACATTATTCGTTTGGGGGGAAACAAATTGAAATGAAATGAAAAGAGGAATGCGGACAGAAAAAATGTTTTGTTTTGGTCTGCCTCGAGGCAAATTTTTAAATATACGCAAACTCAATCAAGCAGTCAATCTATATACTCGGTGGATATAGATAAGATGGATGGATGGATGGATGGATGGATGGAGAGGAAAGAATAGCAGAGCAGAGCAGCACAGCAGCACAGCGGTACAGCAGGCACAATAAATTCCTGAACTTTAAAAACATTCATTAAATGCAAAAAGGCCAAACAAAACATTTTTAGTGCACATTTTTCTTTGGGGGGTTGGGGGTGGGGGGGCAGGCAACACTTTGAAACGGCAAACGGAATGGCATGGAATGGAGGCAAATGCAAATTGTTTATCCATCGAGAGAGACAGAGAGAGGGAAGGAAAACATTTGTGCAAATACTCGGGTAAATGAAGCAAAAATAAAAACAATAATTCACCCAAATGAAATTTTAAATATTTTTTTTTTTTTGTGTGTTTGGATTAGACTCTGCGATTCCTATTATTTATCTACTTTTTTGGATGGTGGTGGCCTTTTTTAACATTTATTCAAGCTGAACGAGGAATGTGTCTGTACGTCTGTTGGATCTGTCACTGTCTTTGTCTTTGTCTTTGGTCTTTACTTATTGTGCCGCTCTTTTGTGTGATTCTGTGCGCTGGCTATGGAAGTGGAGGAAGAAATGGAGTGGAGTGGAGTGGAGTGGAGAGGTGGGTAGGAGTAAAAGTAGCAGACACCAAACGAAACCATAAATAAATTATTTACAGAAATTACAGACACCGCACCAAATTAGATGTTGAGACTTAAGCTATGAACATTCATTAAACATTAAATAACAATTAACAAAAAAATCTGGGAGAGAGGAATGAGTGGATAGGGTGGGGCGGGGGAAGGCAAACCTCAAAAAAAAAGTACAATAAATGTTGAAAATGATTAAACATAGGAAAAGGAGTACCCTTTGTACGCGTAAACTTCTTGAAATATTAAACTTTCACACTTAAAAAAAAAACAACACATGTATCCCTAAGATATCTTCCATTCGTTTGCCGTTTCAAATGCCTATTTGTCCCATAAAAAGTGCATAGATAGAAAGATCGGGAAAGTATCCACAAGTTACACATTTATAATACCATTTGCATGGGTTCGCGTCTCTGTGTCGACCCTTTGGGGGACTCTTCTTTAATATCTTGAACCGCGCTGTGCTCAACAGCAGCAGCAGCCACTGCAGACGAAGACGATGATGATGATGATGATGATGAAGCGGTGACGACAGTAGCAGCAGCAGCAGCACAGAAAGTCAATGTCGATGTGGATGAGGTGTCGTTGGTATCACAGCTCAGTTTGGAAGGGGGCTGGGGACTGGGGGATGGAGCGCTAGTGAGGGCCAGGGCGGACACGACACCGGAGACGGGGCCGAAGAGGCGCTTGGAGGTTTTCGGAGTGGCAGAGGATCGTTGCTTGGGTGCCTTTGGAGTCTTGAAGCCGCTGTCCATAGGCGGCGGTAATTTGGAGCACTCGGGAGTGCCTTCGAGATCATGATCACGATCCTTGTCGCCTCGTCGACTGTTGCTTCTGGTAATGCGGCTACAGATATTGCGGAACTTCTCCTTGACGGGCTTCCTGATCGATTCGTTCAGCGTGAGGCTGATGGAGGAGGCCAGCGAGCAATAGGAGTCGTCGGCCGCCTCGCTGCCCAGAATGGTGGACGCATCCGCTGCCGCAATCGAGCTGCGTCGCGGCCGCAGCACATTTTTCAGCGGCTCCGCCACGAAGCTTACGGAGCGACGAAGGGTGCGCGAGATGGAACCGGTGCGGGTGAGCTTGGGCTTCTTGGTGCTGCCCGGCAGGGCGCACGAGTCCACGGACATTAGCGATATATTGTCGATGCTGTCGCGCTTACGCTTGAGATCATTCTCAGTGGCAGGGGCGCCCGTTTCCATGCCCTCCACCGCCTCCTCCTCGAACAGATCGTCCGTTTCCATGTCGCACTCATCAATGGGCCTTAGGATGGGGGATATGTTGGGGGTGTGGCTGCGAAGGTCCAGCCCCAGTCCCATCGTCACTGCTTCCGTTTGAATTTCCGGGGAACTACTGATGGGCGTGCCCGCTGCGAGGCTGATACGCGGCTTGCTTGTCTTTGGAGTGCTGCCCTGGACATCCCCAGAGGCCCCACCTTGATCCCCTTCGTCATCGTCCGATTCGGGCAGCTGATCATCGCCAGCCATTTGGATAGCTGCAGTCTCCACAAAGAGGCGCTCATCGAAATGTATGTCTTCGTCTTCATCTTCGTCCTGGTTCTCGCTCTCGTTCTCCTTCTCTTCCAGGGCCTGCTCCAACACTCCTTCTACTCGTCCTCCGCCACCTCCTCCTCCTCCTCCACTATCCATCTGCACCTCATCAATGTTTTCGTTGCCTTCTGCTGCCCGGCCTGCCCGCGCGCTACCTCGCGATGATGTGGGTGTGTGGGGGGAGCTTGAGCCCCCACCGACAGTGGTGGGGGTTGTGGTTTGTGGTTCTGGGTTAGTTAGTGGTAGGCCTGAGCCTGTGCTCTTGCCTGCGGTTGGGTTAGTATCAGTGCTAGTGCTAGTGCTAGTGCTTGTAAGTACAGCGCCCGTATTGGGCATCACCTGGAAGACAGACACGTGGAGTTTAAGGCTAGTTCATGTTCGTGGCTAAAAATGAGGCATTCTAAGAGGAAAACAAATAGCACTACGGCATGCACTAGAGTACGCCAACATTCTGGAAGGGAATTGGGAGGAAAGCCTATTCTACGGGAAGGCGGATTGATGGATTGATGCACTCACAACATGCGAGCACTCGGGATCCTTCAGATCGACGCAGACACCGCCATTCTCCAGCAGCACATCGACCATGTGCTGGTGCTCCTCGGCGGGGAAGCCAAAGAAGCAGACCTTCTGGCCCTCGAACGCCTTCAGCTTGTGGGTCTTGGTGAAGCACTCCTGCGTGGCATCGAACTCCAGGGTATCGCGATCCGACCAGGCAGCATACACCCAGTCAGGACGCACAACGCTCAAGCGGAAGGTTTTGGCGTACCTACAGGAGGGGAAGATAAATATAGGTTGAGCGCCAGGGAGTTGGGGATTCACGGCTGATACTCACTGATACTTGGCGCCGCCACTGTGACTGCAAATCAGATGCGTTGTCTTGGGGTTCATGTCCTTCTTAATGCAGCCGCCCATGGAGTGGATGAGGTGCACCAGTTTTGTCTGCGGGAGGAGAGAGCACGGGGATTGAATTGGTGTATACTCCAGCGCGATGTAGAGACTAAGGGAGATCTACTCACCAGCTCGTCCTTCTTTCGTATGCCCGTGAAGCAAGTGACCACGCCGCGCATCGCATAGTTGTAAATGGGCCGCGAGTTGTGGCCCAGCGTCTGTTTCATCTCTGCCGCGTACTTCAAAGCGGGCGGACCCAGAATGCTGCAGAAGAAACAGTTGCAGATTCCGATATAGATGCAGATGCAGATAAAGGAGGAGGGGGTACGAAAGAGAGAGCGGATCCCGAGACAATTAAAATTAAATATTTATGTGGCACACTTTTGAGTTATGCAAGGCGGGGCTTTTATGGCTGCCAGTGTGACCTTGCGCAGTAGTCGTGATTCAATTGTGAATCGGTTGGGTACCGGTTATTACCGATAGCGGAGATCGATCAGTCGGTCGGTCGCTTTGGCGGCTGCCTCTGGGGCACAACTGACGCGAGAAATTGATTTCAATTTGTGTGCGGCGAGTGCGAGATATATTGAACTTTGACTCGGATGATGGCTCCTCCCCACACCCAACCCAACCCCAGTGTGCCCACCTCCTTTTGGCTTTTTCTGTTGTTTATACCCCAACGGACATCGACAGCCGGCTGTTGTCCTCGGCAGTTGCAGCCAATCCTCCGGCTCCCTTCTCATCTGGCAGAAGCCGGAAGTTTTTATAAACAAATCAATCGGTATGGAATCATCGAGCGGAAGTACAGTCGCTGCCTGCAGCCGCCACTCGACCATTGTTCCCATCTCGTTCCCATTAGTGGGCGGGCGTTCAAGGCGTATGATGCACGATGTGTGATGTGTGATGTGGCGTTTATTTATGATACATTTTTGAAGCATGCCCCCCTCTACCCCATGAGCACCATTTAATTTACGAGTACATCTGTCTCTCACAACCCCCATCAGGGCGTGTAATGATAGCCGGAATGGCAAAAATAATTTGCGGTACACCCGAAAATTGAGTAATGCCGTAGGGGAAATTCTTCATAATTTATTTGTGGAAATTGCGAGGAATACTCTGGACAATCTTCCACTTGGGGGTGCTTCATAGAACCCATTCCAATTTGATCTCCAAAGACTTTTTCACAATGAAATGTCTAACAGAGAAAAGCATTTCTCTTGCAAACTCAATTTCACTTGATCTTTCACTTTCTTGGACTTTTCTCGTGTTGCACTTCCTGTTGACTTTCACTCATCTTACTGACTTCCCGCACTGCCTTCATCTTACATATCATATTACAGTCACAGTCACAATCACACTTTCCATTTCCGTGGCATTTCCTTACCAACAAAGGAAGACTTCCATATGCACAAATATTTGTCACTGCCAAACGAACGAATCGTTCTTTCTACGGGGTTCTGTTGTCTGTTAACTGTTGTCACTTGTGCTTGGATCTTGTACCACTGATTCAGCCCCGGAATGTGTGTATAGGTCGTGGCATCTACTGCGGCTCGCTGTTCCACAAGAGTTCCAACATAATTCAATCCGTATCCGAGCAGAACAACTAAACAAATACAACTGCTACAGCGACTGGCACTCGTTGCTGGGGAAAAATGATTGAATAAACGATATGGGGACGATGGAGACAGCAGCAGCAGCAGCAGCAGCGACAGCAGAGTGTGAGCGTATAGAAAATGGAAATAGAAAATGCCTTGTCCACCCGCGCCTCCTCTGCCTCCTGTGGCTCTTGCTCTTGTTGCCACTTAATGTGTGAAACATTCTTAAGAGAGATCTCTCAGAGAGAGAGAGAGAGAGAGAGAGACCAGACCGGTGACAAATCCACAAAGAAATCTTAAGCCAAAACAGTTGGAATCTCCCCGAGAGAGAGAGAGAGAAACAGAGACAAACAAATATTTCACAAAATTCCCAAGAATAATTAAATAATTTTCAAAGTTGACTCAAGGAAAAGCCTGCTGGCTGGCTGCTCTTGTGGCTTAGTCAAGGCATAGAAATGCGCATCGCACGCGCCAACAATGGAGGGCCTCCTCCATCGCATCGCAATGGATTGGCCTCCACAATGAGGGAGGAGCAGGCCAGTTCTAGGGGGCAGATGGCATGATGAATGTGGCAAAGGGGCACTCTCCATTGTAAAGTGCGCTGATCTTTGGCTGTTGCTCCCACCCTCCGAGTGGCACTCGAACTTTGCGAGGGTCAAAACTATTGAACAGTCAATGACATGTCGTTCGCGGACCCGTTCCCATTCTGTGTTCTGCCTCAATTAATCTGCCATATATATCAACATATATATATATGTATATATCGAAACTTATAAGTTTTATATATATATTCGTATTCCTTTTTGTATTTCTCGGTTTGTTGTAGCCACAACTCATTTCATATAAAATGAATTAATAAAACTGTTTACATATACATTTTATTTTCCTCATTTTCTTGATTTTCTTTTTGGTTTTTTTTTTTGCTATTTGTTATATGGTTTTTTTTGTTTTGTTTTTTTTTTTTTGTATGGTAGGAATTTTCATTGGTGCTTTCAACACTCTCTTCTATACACTCTCCATACGATTTGACATCGTTCGTTCGCATTTTTATAGAATCTTGGCGCCAAGAGATTGCTGCAATGCCCCCCAACCCACCTCCGCCGGCCAGCCATTAATTCACTCTTCCCTCCCAGTAGGAGAAACAAATAGATAAATAATAAATAAATAAAAAAACAAAAGACGATTCATTTTCGATTTCTGTAGAAAGACGCAAAGTTGTTTTATCTGAAATTGTCATTTATTTATATTCGCTGCCAAAATAGGCAACGACTTCCCCCATTTCCCAAACGAATGAATGGATCATCGAAATGGGGGATTTGCCATACCGAATTCCTCAATGATTCAGATTCAAATATATATATTTATCCACTGGTAAACACAATTAATCTCTATCTATCTCTCTCTCTCTCCCTCTCTCTTTGTATCTATCTTGTTTGTGGCATCATTTTGGGCGGAGGAGGTTAAGTGGCCGTTAAGTGCTTTTCTGGGTTTTTCGCAGTTTTCCTGGGAATTCCTCATTTACATTTGTTCGATTTCCCCTTTCCAAATCTTTTGATCAGAATTGTGCAATAATTTCGTACCCTCACTGCTCTGAACGGTGCTCTATGTACAATTGTCTAGCATTCTAATGACAAAATCAAACTATTCTTTGGTAAATATTTATGAAAAGAATAAGCAAATCTCTTTGCAAATAATAAATGTTCTACGTTGTTTTCGCGGTAGTTTCCATTCCAATTGATAAACAGAATTTAATTCCAGCCAGAAATATGCATGTTTTTGTTTCTTAATTGGTACCAAAAAGCGAAAATAAAACTTGTACAACTTTGGCAAGTGCCATAAAAAACACATTCGCATGAAAAGTTGAGACACAGAAACATAATTAGCAACAAGCTAAAAGAAAACAACCGAAAAACCGAACAAAGCAAATCAAATGTAGAATATTTGCAATAACAAAACGAACGGATCGGCGAAACATGAATGAAAATCTACGAAATAAATAATAATTCTTAATGGGGGGAACGAGCGCTTCTTCCGCTTCTGCAGATTTCCCTTACAGGGTGTAAAAGTGTTGAGAACATGAAAAGGAAAAACAGACGCCCACCCACACAGCCACACAGCCACAAAACCACCCAACAGCACCTCATCTTCCTGTGCCACCCAAGCCCCTCTCCTCTCTCTCTCTCTATGTCTATGTCTAGGCCATAACAATTTCCACGCATTCGGTGACCTCCAAACAGAAATGCTCATAAATAAATGTTGAACCAAAGCTAAAGAATCACCAAAAGTTATGAGGGAGAGCGCATTGCTGGAGGAGAGGGTGTAGTGTAGCGTAGTGAGAATTACTACGCAGCAGGCAAATTAATCAAGCGTGCAAAAAAAAAATAACGGAGCCCACATACAATACTTAGAGCGACAGAAAAAGACCCACCAAACGGTTGCGCAAGTTTCAAATTTGACAATTTGTAGCCACAGAAACGACGCAAAGGCGACTATCGCATGCCCTTCCAGTCTCAATTATTGCTACACTAATGAAGCAGCGCTCGCGGCATGTGCGTAAGGGAGAGTATGTAAGAGAGTTTTTGTAGAGTAACCGCGGCAGACGGAGTTTGGACTTGATGGAACTTAAGAACTGCGGCGCATGGCGAATGACGCGCTGTCATCTGTTAGGATCCGTTGGAGAAAGAGGAGCAGAGCAGCGCAGCACGCGTGTGTCTCGATTTCAAATTCAATTTGTTGAGGCGGCGGACGATGGTTATGGAACTCTTTTGGGAGCACATGTGACAGATTTGTGTCTAATTTAAGCAGTACACTCTGACTCTTGCTCTTGTTATTCTCGGGTGGCGGCTAATAATAGCCGCAGACTCACCAGGCACGACTAGTACTCACCATTCCTTCTGCTTGTGCAGCGCCTGAAAGCTGTCGCCGTCAAAGTCCTCTACCACGTAGAATGTCCGCCACTCTTTGTCGTCGGCGGTGTCCAGGCCCGTGTTAGATGTTATAACGGGCAGGCCGAAGCGCTCGGCTGCCAGCAGCGTGTCCCCATCCTGGCCAGCATTCCCCACCAGGCAGATTCGTGTGGGCAGCGTTGTAATGGACATCTCTGTGTAGGGATAGAGAAACGAATCAGATATGAGTATTCTACATACATACATATGTACATAAGTGCATGTCGCACATAAATCAAACCAATCTATACGAATTTCTGGTATGGTATGGGATATACTCGATGATACCCTGCAGCTGAATGCAAACAGGTGCTGGCAGGGCCTATTTTACACCCTAAAGAAGCTGATCTGTCTTGTCTATTGCAGCACTCAAATGCTGTTATGCAAACTCTGTTACAGTCAACATATTTTATACACTTTTCTATATCACCTATATCATGCTTCATCTCGGACCTGGTCCACCCCTGTGCAACTCTATTTTACAGGGTACATACTGGGAAACGTTTTTGTTGTGATTTAGAGCAAAATTTGTGTGGATTTGTTTGTTTATGCAATTGAGTGTGCGGTACAGAGACAGACGGACAATGAGAGATGGAGGGAGAGAGGAAGGGAGCAGGCATTTGTGCAAAATAAAACAAACAAAATAGAGAGAAGAAACAGAACAGAATAGAACAGCAAAAAGCACAACACAACTAGAATGCACACACACACAAGGCCGTGGAGAGGAGGGGGAGAGCGGGAAAACGTAGGAGGAGAATGGCAATGTGGGCTGTGCTGTGCGGTGGGGACAGAAGAATCCTCAGCAATGGGCTGTCGATCATTAGGAGAACGCAACCCCACAAATTGTGAGCTGTTGACATCAATTTTAATTGTGCCGAAGAACCAAGAGAGGCAGCCCAGCAGAGAGAGAGGGACAGGAGGTAACGGCAAGGGGCATGGCTTTTAGCTCAGCCACCCACATGAGGGCAGGACGGCACCCACCCAACCAGAGAACCAAAGTACAAGAGTACGATGCGGGGAGGGGACTCTGGAAAACGTTTTCAAGTGCAAATCATTTACCCCCAATCGACATGGGCGAGGAAAGGAAAAAGAAAGAGGCAGGCAGAGACGAGAGAAATGCGGCAGCTTTTGTGGCATTAATTTTATCCAGAATTGTGCAGCTGTAACCGATGCCAATTGCATCTGCATCTGCATTTGTGTTTGTGCCCTGGCGAGACATTCGCCACTTGTGCAATTGAGGCAAAGTCCAGGAACAGTGCAGAAGATCCCCAACCAAAAGCAAAAACCTGAGGGAGCGGCAAGAGGAGAATCTCTCTTGTGTTGTTGATGTCGTTCTCCAGATGGATAATAATTCCAGCAATGCATTTCCGAAAACAACAGCAACAAATGCCCCTAATGGAGGTCGGGGATTTATGGACTAGGAAAATTCTTTAAAGGCTTGGAGTATCTCAAATCTGGACAGAAATAACTAAGGAATGTCGAATCTTGAAGTTCGTTCATCAGAGAATTCTGTTCGCAGACGCCCAGAGATTCATTGGGGAGGGAGGGAGGCTGGGGAACTGTCACAACAATTAAGAACAATTTTTAGCATTTAGCATTGATAACGATTAATTACGATCAGGAATTCTATGAATACCAACCGCGAGTGGCTCATGCGATTTTCCATGGAAATAGCTCTGCATTTTTGAGAACGTTTATTTTTTGTGCGATTCTCGGGTAAACTCTCAACCCGAACCCAGCTTAAATTTGTACCCTCACTGATCCCACAGTCAACCCCTGAGAGCCTGCGAGGGTTACACCCTCGTATGTACCTGTAAAATCTTCGTACACCTGACAGAGGGCCGTCTGCCGGAGCTTTGTCTGCCGCTGAACCGTAACCAATTTCTTGCCGTTGCAGTATGTGCTGTGGCAGCCGAAGGAGAGCCGCGTAACGGGGATGTGCAACATGTTGCTTCTTCCAAACCAGATGCTCAGGCATCAAGCACCGAACTGTAACTAAAGTCGAGAATCGTGCGAACTCCTCGTACAAACTGTTTAGCATGGCCACAGGTGTTCTTGTCCACCATGAAAGGGCAGGGCACGGCAATGGAAAAATGTGGCATGCAAAAATGGCCCTTACAGGTGGTGCCACAGGATTCCCTCTGCGATGGGAACCATTTTTCGCCTTTTGGGAATTTCTGCCTCCGTTCTGCCTGAGCGAATTTCGTTATTATTTTCTGCTGTTTTCTGATCTCTTTGGCTGCCTGCCAGAAACCTGATGAAGCCTCAATGAGTGGCATTTAAAAAATAAAAAGCCAAGTGAAGAATTGTGTGAAGAGGGTGGCGGATTGTGGGCGGCCTGGCCTGGCCTGTTCTGTTCTTAGCCTTTTGCCAAACAACAGAAACAGAAAGAGACTCAGCAATGAAAGATCTTGTAATAAAATTACGCATCTCTATGAGGAGAGTAAGCCTTGACGTAGCGCAGAGCAGAGCAGAGAACCTAGAGACAGACAGCAGGCAGAGCAGAACTTTATGGCATGTAAAAACATTGAGCCAGACGACACGAAGGACGCCTCTACACTGAATATCGGCGCCTTTTCAACATGTGTAATAGGTAGAAGAGACCGAGCGGAGGGGTGGAAATTCAAGGGACAGTAACTGAGCGAGCGCAACTGCACTCCTCGCACACGCACTCTAACACAGGAAGAGAGATCCTTTACCTGAGGGAGGTAGCCAAGGCCAGTGGTGTCTGGCTTGAAACAAGCCGTGCAGATAAATTGTCAGTAGATTTTAAATTCTTGTTCTTGTTAAAAAGGAACTGCTGCTGTTTTGTTGTTGTTTCACTCTCCTTTTCATACGCCTGCCTTGGGCGCATGAAAGTGTTGCCGTACCACGGTACAGTGCCGGCGGTGGGTGAAGTGAGGTGAGGGGCCTACCGCATTTTGCACACACAAGAATTCTTTTTATGCGATAAATATATTCTACACAGAAATAAATTCAGAAAATAAAAGCTTAAAATTCCCTGACGCGCTGCCATGGCTGTTCTTTTTTTTTTTTTTTTTGGCCAGTGAGTATGTACTTGTAAGTATGTATGTGCACAAGTATGGATATATATGTTTATTTGCTGTTAGCGACATTTTTTATGAGGATCTTTTGGCCCCGACTGTGGTTTTACTTTCCCCTTTTGACTCCCCTACTCTGCACCCTAATAAAAATACCTCTGGCGACATTGAAAAATAAATGATGCGTTTCGTTGTTTGATGTGGGGTGGGTGGGGAAGAGGGAAAGGAGATGCTGGTTGGCCCTCTCTCCCTTTTCCCCTCCAAGTACTCACCGCATTTTGATTGCTCTTCTATAGTTTCCATTTCGATAAAGTAACTCTCACGCACACGAAAACGAAACACAAACAAACGCACAAAATCGGAATATGCTAAGCGTCAATTTCGTGAATTAGTGACTACTCCATTCATGCATTTTTCACAGTCGCCCATTGCCAGGGAATCGTTTTGTTTAATATATTTCTTGTCAATTGCTCAATTAAAAAGCGGCGCGCAAATACACAAATACACAAGCACACAAACACACAGGGGGAACAGCCGGCGACACGAACAGAGAGGCGAAGGGCGAGTTCAGCCTTTTATATATTATTCACACACTTGCTAGTACAGCGGAATTTGTTCAAAAAATATTGCCACAACTAAGAGATTAACCATGCAAGTACGCGCCACGGCTGCGCGTCGGAATTAAAAATCAAAATTCAACGGCCAAGCACGTCCGGTTCGTCTTCGTCTCACTCGCACTCCTGTTGCCCAGCTGTGCCTTGCGGTGTATATGTATCTTTCGATTATTGAGATAATCTGCAGATATTCTTTCGTTTACGTAGCATCCGCGAAACAAATTAGTTCAGAATTTTCACTTTCTGGTTAGCCTAGAGAACTAATTTAGTTAGTTTGATGGTGGCGGGTGGGTTTCGACGAATTTTTGCGAATGCTTTGAAATAGAGGCGTCAAACCAAAGAGGGCACTAGATAGTATCGATATTTTGCTGCTAGCCTCTACTATCGATGGTTTTGAGACTATCATGATAGTATCGAGCTACAGTCGTTGCGCTTTTGATATGTTTGGATTGGCTGCTATAAAATACGAAGACAAATTTGCAAACAAATCGACAGGTGTTATCTAATTTTTACAAGGGACTAGTTCCTAAAAGGTTTCAATGGTTTTTTAATAATTATTTGAGCCCGATACTATTACGTAGTATCGATTGTTTTTTTCAAAACATTCAACGTTGGTATTCCTCGATTTTGATATTCCGTTTAATATTACGAGCTAGTTGGCCCTCTCAGCCCTAAACAAATAATTTTATCCGATAGATACATAAATTTTCTACAAGATTGGCAAGTTTTCAGAAGTCCTTTTTATTGCATTGTTTATATAAAAAGGTTCAAACTCATTTCGTGCCAAAGTTGCAGAACAATGCTGCCTATGCATTTCCAGATGTTGCTGAAATTTTTCCCATACAAATCAAATGTATCGCGTATGGAATGACGAAACAATGAATCTTCATTCCATATGCAAAACATGTTGCTCACACCACGAAAGCGCTCTCTTCACCTCGGAAAAGAGAGAAAATTTTGTCAGTATTTTTTGTGCGCTAAATGAAGTTAGCGGTCATTTTCAAAAAAATATTAATATGTGGAAAAATAAATATTTCACTTGATTTGTTTTGTCGAGTGAGACTGGAAACGTCATTTTCAAAATATGCCGTAAATATACCGAGAAAAAAATAGCTAGTTAGTTAGTAACCAGTAAATATCAACAAAAAAAACTATTTTTAACAATCTTTGTATTATTTCGCTTAAAAAATAGCATTTAATAGCATTTTTTAGTAATAATTAGTTGAGCCCGATACTATCACGATGGTATCGATTGTTTTTTTAAAACATTCAAAACGTTCGATGACTTAACTATCAATCGTTTCACAGCTCTATGGTGGCGGGTGGGTTTCGACGAATTTTTGCGAATGCTTTGAAAACTAGGCGTCAGTGTGACCGTGCATTGATGGATTAAATATACGCCTGTCCCTTAGAAATATACCGAAATATATCTTTCATAATATACCGAAGAATATACCGGAACTGAATAACTCGCAGCTGATTTCAAGCTTAGCGGTCGTTGCTAGTGTTGCCAGATCGATGTAAGTCAGAATCAAATCATTTTCAACTTTGAGTGAAAATTAGATTCGCAAAAGCTCGGAAACATTTTCTATTAGATGTGTACATTTATTTTGATCAAAGCGTTCATAAAATATTTTTTAATTTTTCCACCTCTTTTCGGCTGAGTCCCCACAATACAAATACACACAATACAAACAAATAACAACTTTAAAATCAAACTCTACCTATTCAGGGCCGCATCAACCCTCAACCGGGCCCGGGGCAAACATCCATCTCCTCCTCTTTTTTTTCACGCCAGCTCCCCTTTTTTTCATTTGAAATAAAAACTTATAAATTTAATGTTTGTTTCATTATTTTATATTTTTCGCAGTGGCTATTATATTTTTTTTTCATTATTTGGAGTTTTTTCAACAAAATTTATCTGTTCCCGGGGCCAACGCTAGTCGGCCCTGACTCAGACCTTGTTGGCATTGACGAAGCCGAAAACAGATGCAAAGGCTAGCCTAAAAGAGAATGGAAGAATTAGCCCGCGCGCCGTACCATGAAGCATCAAACATTTGCTCCCAGTGCAACATCTTTGTATTTTATAGTATTTGATACAACTTAAGCGCTAAACTCATATACAACTCCAAAACCATTAGCTTACAAGAAACAAAAATCTTTATAGTTTTGACTTGCGTTTTCCAAAGTTCCTTATGACCTGCAAGAACTCTTCTTCATGAAAACGATTGATCAGTTCCTTGCACTCAGCCTCATGAGCTTTCAAGAGGTTCGCAAGGAAGCCCTCCTTGATCAAGCGTTTTCCTTCCTTTAGAGAATTCGGTGGCAAAGTGGAAAACTCGCGCAGCTTGGGCCAAATCACTGACTCCAGCTCCTCGGACTTGTAGACGCGCGACACAAAGTTGAAATTGTACGCCTCGGCGGACGACAACTTCTCGTTGAGGAGGAGCATTTCTGAGGCTTTGGAGCGACCAAGAATCATGGGCAGCATATAGGAAGAGCCTCCTTCTGGGACAAGGCCCAGCTTGGCGAAGGGAGTGAGAAAGTATGCCTGAAAGGGATAAGAGCTGGCTGTTTAGCAGCGGCTATTGAGGTGAAAGGTTCAGACTTACCTCCTCTGCACACCAGGTGACATCGCTGAGGCCCACAATCGTGGCGCCGATGCCGATCGCAGGTCCATTAACCAGGGTAAAGACGATCTTCTTGCAGTTTATAAAGCTCTGGACCATGAATTTGAATACGACATTTGACTGTACGAGGTACTCAGTGAGATTGTCCGTTTTGCCACTTTGGGATAAATCTTTTCCAGCCGTGAAGAAATCGCCCACCCCGGTCAGCACAACTATGGTCACGTCAGCATCATTGTTCACTGCGCCCAGCACGCGGGCCAGCTCCTTGTAGGCCACGGGACTCAGGCAGTTCTTCTTTTTGGGATTGTTGAATTTCACCACAAGAAGCTTGTCCTGCTTTTCCACGAGCAGCTCCAGGTAGCCTTGGTACTTCATCTCTGTACTGCAGCGATGCCAAAAGTCAGCTTACGGCTGGGCACTCACCAATACTCCCAAACAAAAACACAAATACCAATAAAGGAACAGTGCAAACTCGATGAAAAGACAACAAAGGCAAAAAAAATTACCGTAATTTTTGCTTGCGAGCGAATCAGAGAAGAGACAAAACCGGTTTTTGCTGGGGATCGCATACACACAAATATGTTTGCATGTGTTGGGCTTTCGGTATGTTGGTACACAGCACAAACTGTGTATGCACACAAGAATTGGTTTCCTACAAATGGGCTCCGTGGGCAATGGGCCTGGGCATCGCTGCTGTACTGTGTTTGACAGTGCTTTCGAGCAAGTGACTGACAAAGTCCGATTAATGCTGTGTTATCTCATTTTTATTGTTGTTTGTTTGAGCCGCTATCTGATTAGACTAGAAGAATTACTTCTAAAAATAATCTGCCCTTTGAGTCGACTTGATATGACTTAATTTAAAAAATTTTAAATATAAGCTAATTGAATGAATTTACAGAATACTTCATTTATATGCCGCTTGTATTCTGCTGCTCGTCGAAATTTGTAATACAATCTGTTTGCCCACTTTAGATTTTCGAATGGGTACAGAATTGTAAAGGAGCCCGTTATTGCAAAAATATGCAATAATTATATTTGATAAGAGCTTTGCGTGTGATTTAAACAAATTTTTTTTTTCATTTGTTCTTCGTAATATTTTATTTTGCGAATTTTCGCAATTTCAAGTTTTTGTTTTAAAAACTTAATTAAAATTCCTTCATTTCATTTTTTTTTTAGTAGATCTTGAATTGAAGATAAATACTGCATAGTATTAACAAAAAAAAAACAAAAAAAAATTATTATGGCCTTGCCATGATAGATATTATCTAAACAAAAATAAATGCTGTATGTCCATCAAATCATATGGATTCGCACTTGCGTGGACTACTTCTTTGGCGCACCGATTGTGGTGCGCTTTCGTGTGCGATTGGCGATGCATGAGGTGTTTGCCGAACGACTTTCCGGTGCGATAATATCGCGAGGACGAGTTGCGCTATGGCGGCATCGACGCAATTACTCGCTCATCGGTGTGGCTCATTTGTCTCCCATGGTCCTTTTATTTTGTGTTCCATAGAATGGAGTAGAGATTTACGAATTCGGTTACTTCACCGGAAGCATTTGCATGTGATGTGGTCCTCGCTGATAAGGACTTCGACGGTGTCGACATTGTGGACGGTGACGCTGATTCGGTGTCATCCTGGTCGGTGGTCACCGACTCTATGTCTACCATGTCTGCAGGTGCCACATCTTCATTGGGCTGTACCAATGTATCCCGTTCCTGTTCATCCTGATTGTTCCGTTCGGAATCCATTTGATTATTGCACTGGCATGGCTTGGTATCCTGTTCGTGTTCATCCTGGCTTGGCATGGCATCCTCCGATATAATAATAAGATGCGCAACGCTCATACAATTTCAATTGCCATATGCAAGCGCCATGTGTGAGAACACACAGAACCAGCAAGTGCGTATGTGTGCCTACTTGAGCGGCTCTAGAGCGCTCTCTCTCTCTCTCTCTAAACAATTTCAAGCTAAAGCCAGACTGAAAAATTCATGTGCACCCCTCGATATTTTTCATGTTTTGTGGTACTCTCTAGTATTGCCAGATCGATGTAAATCGGGACAGGCAGTCATGTTTTGTGAACTGCGACTTTAAAAATACCAGAGTACGATACGTTCATCTCTATACTCTATATGAACACACACTCATACTCTTACACGAAGGTAATCCGATGGCGGTAACAACAAATAGCACATTAATTGGACTTTGTCATCCACTTGCTCAAGATAACTGCAATTACCAGTACAAAGATAGATGGCAGCATACCAAGGGTACCAGGAGCTGCTCGTGGAGAAGCAGGACAAGCTTCTGCTTGTCAAATTCAACAATCCCAAAAGAAAGAACTGCCTAAATCGTGAATCATACCAGGAGCTGGCTCGGGTCCTGGGTGAAGTGAACGATGATGCAGACGTGACAATCGTGGTGGTGACCGGCGTGGGTGACTTCTTCACGGCTGGAAATGACTTAACCCCAAGTGGCCAAACGGGCGACATCCAAACATATCTCGCAGAGGGAAATGAAATATTCAAAACCATGGTGCTGGGCTTTATAAACTGCAACAAGATTGTGATTAGCCTGGTAAATGGACCGGCAATTGGCATCGGCGCCACGATTGTGGGCCTCAGCGATGTCACCTGGTGTGCAGAGGAGGTAAGTCTGAATCTTGCACCTCAATAGCCGCCTCTAAACAGCCAGCTCTTATCCCTTTCAGGCATACTTTTACACTCCCTTCACCAAACTGGGCCTCGTCCCAGAGGGCGGCTCTTCCTTTCTGCTGCCCATGATTCTTGGTCGCTCCAAAGCTTCGGAGATTCTGCTCCTCAACGAGAAACTTACCTCCGGCGAGGCGTACAATTTCAACTTTGTGTCGCGCGTCTACAAGACCGAGGAGCTGGACTCCGTGGTCTGGCCCAAGCTGCGCGAGTTTTCCACTTTGCCACCGAATTCTCTAAAGGAAGGAAAACGCTTGATCAAGGAGGGCTTCCTGGCGAACCTCCTGAAGGCCAATGATGCCGAGTGTACGGAGCTCCTCAAGCGTTTCCACGGAGACGAGTTCATTCAGGCCATTGTGGACTTTGCCACACGCAAATCTAAATTGTAATTTGTTAACATAGTTACCTTGTAAAAACAGCTGTTATTTTTTTATATCGATGGGTTGAATATCGCGTTTTGAACGATAGATCGATATTGTGTGGTGTTATCAAATTTAAATTTAAAACAGGCTCTGCTGCTCTAAATTCACTTTGCACTCATATATAGTTCACTTTATTATGTCGTACATACGAGTATTCGTTTATTAACATATCATTTAGTCGATCGCTTGCTTGTGTGTATGTGTATGTGTGTGTGTATAATATGTATATGACTGTATTGCACTTTATAGTTAGTTCCACATTGAATAGTCTCCGCAGGAGTTCTTCTGCATATCCCAGCACTAAGCCAAAATGAACTGAACTGCTGATGCTGCTCCTCTGGTGACTTACACATAATGCTGCTTTACATTCCTGTATCAACTAGATCTAGGCCAGACCAGACCACCGTACACGTGTCGTTCTGCTAGGGAAATTCGTTGGCCTCTGCGCCTTGTACCACCTTACCTAAAACACTAATCTTAATCCTAGGCGTGCTCCTGCTCATGTACAAATTGATGATAGACGTAGAAACATATCTATAATAGCTGGTACACACGGCGATCGCTTGGAGTTTAACTTAGGCTGCGTTTTCTCTTTTCTTATATAATTTAATTTTTTTTTTTAGTTATTTCTAATAACTCTCCTGTGCCCCCGGGGCTCCAATCAAATTCAAAATCTTTACAATTACTCAACAAAAAGTTTATGTGTACGTAGGAAGGCTCCTCCCACTCCGGCCACTCGCTTAGCCTATCAAAAATGAACTGGGAACCTTACCTAAACTCTGCCCTAAGTCTACACGCGGCCAGCAGGATGAGCATTAGGAAGTGCAGCGCCACCAGATGCTGCCACGTGGCCTGTACCGCTCCTGCCCCGCCATGGTGCAGCTCCGCAAAGCTCTCGCCTGCAAAGGGAAAGGAAATAGTTTTACCCACACTCGGGGATTCCGGATGGAGCCTCACCATTCAGAATGTGCACCACAATGGTAAAGTTCTGGAACTCGCTGATCGAACAGGTGTAATTCCCCGAATCGGTTTTGCTGATCTTCGCTATGGAGAGGGTGGAGTTGGCTCCATCCTCCATCAGTTCGGTTTTGACGCTGCAAGCCAGGATTATCGTTAAGTCTCTCTCTTTCTCCCTCTCTATTCCCGCCCACTCACCTCACGCCACCGCGTGTCACGTCGTAGTTGAGCACATCGTCGATGTGCTTCCAGTACACCACGGAGCTGGTCATGGCCACGTTGCGCACCACACAGGACAGCTGCAGCGTGGAGTCGATCTCGTAGTACTTCTCCTGCAACGGATCTCCCACCTCGTCCACAATCATCACTTTGGGAGCTGTGCCAAACCACTCGAGTGACTTCACTTCCAATTTGTGTATCGCCTTGCGGGGTACTTACCATTCACATGCAAGTTAATTTGTATGAGGCGGGGCGGATGGGTCGAGATCTGGCACTCGTAGATGGCCTCGTCATCCTTCTTCACATTGGTTATCTTCAGTCGCCAGTTGTTGGGATATTGGAACTCCATTTTGTAGCGTTTATCACCCGTGTATGTGTGCATGCCCACTGTCAGCAGATCCAGCGCGTTTTCCTCGTCCTGCGTATTATGTCGCACCCAAGAGACCTAAATGTGTACATATATTTCATTATGTACTTCACCATGGGGCATTGTCATATTTTCAAATAATGATAGCTAATCGATGCAGTGCCATCGATGCACTTTTTAATTGATAATAAAAAAACGTCGTGAATTTACACGAATTTTTTTAAGCAGAGTTTTAAAAGTGAGAATCTGCCGCCTCAAACGCTGGTAAAAACCTAATAAATGGCTCCTTGCCAGTTGCACTTACAGTCTTATCCTGCAGCAGCGAAATTCTGCAGTTCAAGTGGATGCTGGAGCCCGCTTGCACGGTCAGATTCGTGGACTGGCCCAAACGCTGTGCGTCCTCGAAATGCGGTCCATATCTGTGAGACGGACAGATGCCCATTATAGAATACATCTTGGCATCTTCCGAGGCGAGGACAAACTTACCTCTGATCGTGATGGTGGTGCTTGTTGGCCGCCGAGAACGTGTCAAAGATGTAGTTGAGCATGGGCGCATCCGTTTTCTGGCCCTTGGGCAGCGAGTGCTTGCTGTTGCCGTCCACCCTCACCGCCGAAGTGCGAACGTTGTTGGTTCTGTTCCTTGCGGGTTCTGTGGGCGGCGCATTGCTCGCATTGGTGGCGGCACTTCCGCCGCTGTCTGTCGCCGCAGTGGCCGGCATTAAGGCATTTATCTTTTGGCTACCAATCTGCTGGAAGGTCATGTCGTCTCTGCTGAGGGAGTTCTTTCGACTGGGTGCCTCAGACAGCGGACCCTTGGCCGTTGCTGTGGCGCCTGTTCCGTCCGCCTGCAGCGACAGGGACTCCATATCCTGGGACCGTCCCAGCAGCCGCTGCTCGAAGATCGTTGTGACTGTCTGGGAGCTGGGGGCCACCGTTGTCGATGTCTGGCCCATATCTATGACGTAATCGGGCTCCACATCGGCCTTAAAGGCTACGCTGGTCCCATCTGCAGGCAGCAGCAGCAGCAGCAGCGGCAGCGGCAACGGCATAGGAGTTATCGATTTCATTCGAATCTGCTTCCGACGAAGAGAAAGGAAAAGGGGAAAGTTAAGAATTGATGACATGGCCACCCATTCGGGGGGCTGAAAGTGTGGGCGTGAGGGTGTGGTTGAGTGTCTGTCTGAAGGGTCTATGCTAATTTCTTGTTTCCCCACAAAATATGGCGGGGCTGCCGGGAAGGGGTCGGCTATGTGTAATAATAAATTTGGAATATCAGGGAATCAGGAAACCTATTTTTGGAGGCAAACCAATTTCACTTATTGGGCGATAATCACTTCTATATAAAGGAACATTATCCACAATGCAGTGAGAAAACAATAGAAACAAATTTGGACAATTCATTGTATGATTTATTGGGCACTCAATAGGCACAAACGAAAGCATTAGTTAAATGGTTTAATAATAATATTTTTGGAATGTTAGCGATTTTGGGATTTAGTTATTTAGTTTGCCTATAAAAAAATCCTAAATCACATTATGTACGAGTACCAACTTTTTTTTTTGTGTATCAAATTGTTTCATGGAATAATTTATTTTAGATACATTTTTAGTATCCATTTAATATTTTTTTAAAAATATTTAAAGCCTATGAAAATGTATCTATTTTTTGCTCAGTGCAGTTCCAATATACATTTACTTATATCCAATTTGTTCCAAGTATTCTTTCAGCCTTCCATTGAATAGCAATTATATAATAATGGACCCCGCCCCTCGTTGGGTGACTGATTTCCAAGTAACAATTTTGCTATTTTCCCTACCGTAACTATCCTGCCACGTGGTCAACAGCAAGTGGTCCGCGGAGGGCGTGGCAGTGGTTGCTCCTCCTCCTTCTCCTCCTGCTGCTGCTGCCAGTGCTGCTGCCAGTGCTGCTGCGGTTGTGGTTCTCGCGGGCAGTTTCACTGTGGCGTCCAACAGCAGCTCGTCCAGCTGCTCGGGGGCGACATAGCCATAGGGATCCGCGCCCTGGACGGGCCGATTGACGGCCTCATAGACAGCATTGGCCTGGACCAGGCCGCTACCGATGGCCCTGCCACTGGCCATGATCGTTGTGGTTAGGATGAACAGCCGGATCAGATTGCGCACGGAGCATTCAATTGGTCGCGTGGACGCAGAGATCGATGGGGTGGTGTGACTGGCTGGCTGTGGCTGTTCCTGTGGCTGTTCCTGTGGCTTGCTTCGATTTAGTTCTCGGAGGCGCTATTTTCGTTGGTTCATTCAAACGCATTTTGCAATCTGTAATCCCCGTTTGGAATCGGCACTAACTAACGCACATTTGGCCAACTGCATTGGTGGACTGGGAGTTAACGCTCTGCTCTGTGTGGGGTCTGCTCGTCTAACCCCGTCTGGGGGTCACCTACTGCTCATCTGGCACACGATTTGGGCTCTCACGCACTTCTGCCATTTGTTTGTCCGGGCGCCCCGTGGGCGGAATCACGTAAATATCAACTTGATAAATTCACTTAGGGACAGGAGCAACTTTCTCCTGCAACTTTTCTCCCTACTGCTTATTGATTAGCTGATTAAGTTAATATATGTATGTTATGCTTTACATGCTCTAGGAACGATCGTTAACTAAAATGTAGTTTTCCATTTCCATTTCCCTTTTATTTTATTTTACTTTACTTTACTTTACTTTATTTCGGTTTATTCGAAGGAGAACACTTTCCGGTACGGATTCCGGGATTCGATTTGGATTATTAGCTTTGCTTTGGGACACACACGCGGGACTATAATGCGGATCAAGGAAGCGCCACTCAATTGTCAGGGAATGCATCGAGGACGAGACTCAATCACTGGCAGTGCACGGGGCCTTTTGGCTTTGCCTCATGCATTCCTCATCCACTTGCTCATGTTGCATGCCACACAAGGCGACGAGACCGAAAACCCTGTCGTAGAACACGCACGGTATACACGGGGATTTACACGGGTGGAGAACGGAACGAATCGCTTCGAACAACTGCATCACGTATATCGTCGTATAGCTGCCAGTGGGCGATTCGTCGGAGCATCCGGCACGCACGGAGGAACGTCAGCACGCCGTTACACTTCGCCTATGAATGGTCGTCGGGTCGGAATTGAGGCAGGAATGCTTGTCAAATTGTTGTTGATGTCCCCGAGACGCAGAGTCCGAGTCCTCTGCACTTCGTGTCGTTATTCACTTCTTCACAATAAAGACAGCTCTGCTCTTCACCACCATATTCAGACTTTGCGCATGTCCTCCTTTCGTTAAGTTCTTCTCCTGTTTTTTTGGTGGATTTTGGTTGCTACAATTTCGGAGTGGAGAAGCTTCTACCCCTGCGGTCTGAAGTCCGAAATAGATTAAGGCGAAGCAGTCGCCCAAAGCAGTTGTATCAGTGCAAGCAGTTTACCTGTGAGAGGAAAACAAGCAGATCGCAAAGCAAAAAGAAGCAGTTCCATCGGCTGTAAATAAGAAGCAGTTCCATCGGCTGTAAATAGGAAGCAGTTCTGTCAGCTGTAAATAAGAAGCAGTTGGTATATCCACACCAGGCGGCGCCAGTTGTGCCAGAAACCTTCACCTACAGAGAAACCTGCCCCAATAGCAACCCACCCCCGAGGACCAGCATCTCCTGGGAGAGTGTCACAAAGTGCATTGCAGCGTGTGGCCACTGTCGATTTCGACCAGTTTGCAGACTCAGATTTATGGTAATCGAGAGGCCATAACATGAGGGATGATTGGTTGGTTGGTTGGTCCATGGTGTTGTGGCAGCGTCTTATCAGACGCGCGTGGAGGTTGCTCGGATGCAGACGCCATCGCTCCAGTCAGCGGACTTCTGCCACAATCGAGAAAACTGCGGAAACGCTTCGGGAGTGAAAATAAAATATCATTTCTTAATCGGAAATTGAAGAATTCACGCAATACGCAGGAAATGGCAGCCACCAATGAAGCTACAGAGCACGCCAGAGGATGACCATTGAGGGGCGAGTACAGGTGAAAAATGGAAAATATATGCACACGCCAGTATACATACAGGCGCCAAGGCAAAAAGTCACAGTGCTGCTTTTAGGTCACACAAAAGGCTCTCCTCCTCGCATCGACAGCAAAAAGCATCGACAGTAGCAGCATCGACAGCTGCCCGAAGTTATCCAAGGGGAAGAAGAACCAACAAGTAAGACATTCATTCGCCATCCCATTCGTTCGAAACCCGGCGACTCTTTAGGGGGGAACATCGCATGCAATCGGTGTGAAAATCCTTTGTTTAATGGCTGCAAATTGAAAGAAAAGGCAACTTTCAATACAAATAGCTTGCAATATTCCTCAATTGATGGGATTACAAGTGCATAGGGAAGAGTCTGGAGTCTGTATTGGTAGCGAAATTGCATCTGAAAACTCTGAATATCCTTTGGCTTGTGGTAGGTCCATCCCATTGCTCTGAAAATCCTTCGGAACGTACAGACAAGTGTGTGAAGTGTAATCCGGTAAGATATCAATCATATCTGATTTAATTGCTCGGAAATTTCATCGGTTTGATGGTTGATATCAAAACAAAGTGAAAGTTTAGCTCCAAGCGATTCTACCAGTTAAATCCCATTTAAATCCCCTGAACATACCCAAAGTGCAGGTGCAAGATATAGAGTATTTCCTTCAAACAATTCCATAAAAGGGAAACCCCATCCAATGGCTCCAAAAATCCCTCTAATGATGCACCGTAAGCGCATACAAAAGAGCGTGAATGCTACTCTGGATGGCCCACAAGTGGCCCCACAATGAGAATACGGTCTAAATTTAAGCAGCAGGCTGCGTCTTGGGGCTCACGTGTCAAGCAGCACTCAGGAGACAGAGCAGGGCAGGCCAGGCCCGTCATTGTAGGGCCTTGTTATCAGGACACCGTCACAACCCTCCTCCACCGGTCTCCCTTTGGCCCCGTCCGCTGGGAGCTTGCGTTTTGTTTGGCTTTAATTGCGGCACAGCCGCGAACACGTCTCCGGGTGGTGGCGTCTCTTGAAGGAGTGTCCGCTGTTTTTCAAGTCCCATCACATCACAATCTGTTGTTGTCAACTGGTGCTGCCTGCTGCTGCTGCTGCTTCTGCTTCTTCAGCTATTCTGGGAGCTCAGAGCTCAGAGTCTGGCATTCATTGTGCTCGCATTTTCTTGAATTTCTAATTGTTCAGCATTCGCCCTGAACTTGTTCCGTTCCTGGCAGTTGTAGTTCCACCTAGAAGTGAATAAACAGGCCGAGTAAATCCCAGTTGACACCTTACAGGGCAGTGGGACAACAGGTGGAGATGCCTGGGAGAATTTTTGTTATTAAGGCTGCCAAAGCGAAAGAGAATGGCCGAGTATCCAGCAACAAAGTACTTACAAGCCATCCGTGCTCCCACGCTACGGATCCACATCGGATCAGAGCATTAAATCGTTTTGTTCTTTTCATTCTGAATCCATTATTATTCCAAGAAAATCCTCCATTTATTTTTTCTTTTTCTGGCTATATCTTGGTCAAATCTTAACCGATTTCTGTCCGAGTTTTGATCACCAAATTGAAGAAATATGGGAAATGTTTTTGGCATACAATTAGTAGCTAATTAGTATATTGAATGGCAATCGTTGGGATAGTATGGAAATATGCTAAGTTCCTTGCCAAGACCTTTTCTTGCCTTTCCCAAGTTCATCCACAGGTGTTTAAATATTGCCTAAATTCCCTACAAGAATCCATTAAATCCCCAAGGTATTCCGACACTTTCAGTTCATGTTTAAAATCGATTCGTCCAGCATACCATTAGGAAGAAGCCGCCTCTGCCTTACTCCTACTGTGTTTTTGTATATTCCCTGAAATTCTTTCAGAAATCCACGTTTAATGAACTGCAGCCGCAGTGACGATTGAGAAGCATTAAGAGGCATCGGCAGTGGCATTGCAATGCCATCCCGTCGCGCCGGCGGCGGCACAATCAAGCGGAAGCACTCCTTGGGCAACCTGCGACGCGCACATCCCGCCTCCGGGGCCACATGGAATGTGCAGGTGGTCCGTGGCAAAATGTCCTCCAAGTGCTTGTGGCACGCCTGTCGGGCCCTGATCCTGGGCCTCACGCTGATGCTCCTGGGCGCCGGCATGGCCACCCTGGGCTACTACGCGGATCACCTGTCGATGGGGTCGGAGCTGCGCGGCAATGTGACGGTGCGCGTGAAGAACGACCTGAAGGGCTTCCACCTGAACAACTTTGCGTATGTGGGGCCCATTGTGATGGGCTTTGGGGGCTTCATTGTGGTGGCCTCCTGTGTGATGACCTTCGAGGCGCGCGACTCGGCCGCCAAGGTGGTGCCGGCCCGTCTGCGTGCGGGCGGAGCAGGCAGCTGCAGCAAGAATCCGACGCGGTAGTAATCAGGGCAGCTCGGCCTCGCAACGCCGAGGAATGGGTAAGAATTGGCGACATCTCTTGGGGCTATTTGTCAACTGTTTTGCCTGTTTGCTCTGGCAGGTGCCCAGTACCAGTCGACGCGTTGGGATCAGCATTTCGGGGTGTTCCGCTCATCGCCGGGCGATCCCCACCAGCAGCCACAGGCAGCCATACTCTCTGCCAACCAGCAGCTGCTGCTACAGCAGCAACAGCAGCAGCAGCAGCAGCCCTTCGACAGGGAGGCCCTCACCGCAGAGTTGGTGAAATTCTCCAAGTCCCTCAGGTATTCAAAAGACAGACACAGACAGAGCCGCAGAGCCATTGACCATTCGGGGAACTTCATTGCGGGACTACTGGAGCATCCTTCAACACACACACACAATTGGCTAATCTTGCTGTTCTTCCTCTTCCCATTCCCTCTCTCTCTCTCTCTCTTTGCATCATATCCATCGCCTTGCATCGCCTTGCATCGCCTGGGCGGGCAGTCGCCAATCCACACGCTTTTCGCCGCAGTTGCGCCGCCTCACATGCACTGGATCGGTGCCCGATCTGTCCACCATCCATGCCGCTGCCACCGCTCATGCTCATGCTCATGATCATGCCCTGAATCTCCTTGAATACACCAACTCCAACGCCGCCACTAATCACTCCAATTTGCTCTCAATGCACCACCACCACCACCAACTGATGACGACGCCGCTGGACACGCTGCTGCTGCACCATGGTGGCACATGCTGCACGAAACGACATCGGCGCCATCGCCACTCGCACCATCACCATCACCACGACCACGACCGCGACCACAATCAACGACACCACGCGAAACCCGGCTGCTCGTCGGCCAGCAGCAGCGTGAGGAGAGTGCGCCAGGGTGCGCGTGGAAATTGGGCAGGACCTGGCCCTTTGGCGACCGCCAATGTCGCTGCCAGCGCCTCCGCCTCCTGCTCGTCGACGCGCATCATTAGCAACTCCTCGAGCCTCATCCAGCGGGCCACACGGGAGTGCGCCCTGCTGCAGCCGCCGGCAGCGGGTCGTGTGTACTGGCAGGCCTCCTCCTTTGATGGCGGCAGTGGCCATGCCCATGGCCATGCCCATGCCAATGCCAATGCCCATGCGGGTGCTGCCATCTCCAGCGCCGAGAAGCGTAGCGAGCGGAACAAGCGCTCGGACACGGCCAAGCGGCATGTCCTGGCCCGCCAGCGTCCCATCGAGCAGGAGGAGGGACGCAGTCCCCTCGGAAACAGGCGGTAAATATATTTAAACAGCACTTTATACAGACTGGGCGAACCCTCTTACTGATTCTGATCTGGGTACTCGTAGCAGCAATTCGACCATGTCGGATTCCTCGTACAGTGGCCGCTGGACGGCGCGCTGTGCGTCGGTGGCCAGTCGCACCTCCAGCATTGAGTCGAGGCGCGTTCAAGTCGATCTGCACAGTCCGGAGGTGATTCCCAAGTCGATTTTGCGCTCACCAAAACGCTACAGCTCCGGACCCTCGGCCACGCCATCAGTGGACAAGGATTTTCGGTCAGCAATGGGACACACAACCCTCTCTCTGATTATCCTGGAAGAACTCATGCTCATGTTTGTCTGCTTCTCTGCTTTCCTTTCTGTAGAAGCCAATTGTCGGTGTGCTCGGAGCCACCGCCGCCTGTGCGTCAGCTGTCGGGGCAGTCGAGCATGGAGCCCGCCCTGCCGGAGGAGAGTCTCGAGCAGGCCGAGGACAGGTCCTACGACGAGGTGTTGGCGCCGCAGCATCACACGGGCAGCCTGCCACCGAAGAAGGTGCGCCCGGACTTTCTGCCACTCTCCCGCAGCGAGCAGCAGGGGAATCAGCATCAGAATCAGAATCATAATCAACAGAAGCCGATGGCAGCTGCTGTGCCGCTGTTTCGCAGCAACAGCTCGCGACAGTTCAACAGGCCGAAGGCGGCGGTGGTTAGCGGGCGGGAGGACTCTGTGTTTCATGCCCGCTCCATGGAACGGGGACTGGCCAAGGGCAGTGCCAGTGCCGATGATCAGATGTACGATTCCCTCAAGGTGATCAACGAGCGGCGCTCCACGCTGCTGAAGGCGGACTCGCAGAGTTCCCTGGGATCGGCAGAGCGCAAGCTGAGCAGTTTCTCGTTGAAGATGCCCGAGATAACAGAGCGGGAGAACTCCATAGATGTGGAGGAGCCACCTGCCCCTGCCCCTGCCCCTGCCCCACCTGCAGAGGATATAGAGCTGGGCAAGATTGATCCCTAGGATCGAGGATGTAGCCCGCGGGAGTTGCAGTTGTAAAATGTAAACAGCAGCCATCGACAATTACTTTAGAGCATTGATGTATATTTGTATTGTATTGTATTGTATTGTATTGTATGTGTGTGTGTGTATCGTCTCGTTAGCTTGTACTTAGATAAGTGTTATATCCCCCACCCCCCACACACGGACTGGTTCTGTATATCAACCCGAATCCCAATCCCCCGCCCTGCATTCAGCAAGGAATCAAAACGATGTCTATTATAAATGCTACTCCGTAGTCTTCCTATTGTTAGAGCATCGAGCTATGTCGTTATAACTATTACTATTACTTATTTGGATGTTAGTTTGCCACTCCATCAACTACGGTGCGTTGTATAGCCTGTAAAATTCGTACAATCAGCTTATAGTAAAGACTGATTAGGCAGAAAAACAAACAAACAGAAAACCTACGGAATCGAAAGGGCAAGCCACACATTTCATACACAAAAACAAAACAAAAACCAATCAAATATCTGCCAACAGGTTCAAGGCACTCAATCGGCAGTTGGATGTTTTTTGATCTCAGCAAAACTTTAACGACTTGTTGCATTACAATTGTACCTAATTATATGTATGTTTATATATCTGGATGTTAATTTTTAAGCCAACGCGTTTCTTGTTCGATAAGTGTTTTTGCAAAAAACCCACAAAAAGCATTCAAAATGATGGAATTAGCTGTGACGGCAACCGGGAACCCACAAAAAAAAAAACGTTGCATTTTATAATACTGTTCATTGCAAGATTAATATCAAGTCAATAAAAACAATGTGTGTGTCAAAATCTCAGAAAAGTCTATAGTGTGAGAACAAATTTGAATTTAAATTCAAATTTGAACTCCAAACGGGCTGGCAGCTCTTGCAAACATCGATAGGCAAAATATTGCAGTGTAGTCTTTGTTTGCGCGGAGTGGCCAGACATGTCGATATCTTACCAGTGCTGTAACTCGATTCAGACACATCTTTTAAGCGAAATAATACTAAGTTTGTGGTTTTTCAAAATTTGCTCTCTTTTCCGAGGTGAAGAGAGCGCAATCCTGAACAAAATTTATTGAGGAATTGGATCAAATTATTTGCTTAGGGCTGAGAGGGCCAAAGCTACTAATATTAAACGGAATATCAAAATCGAGGAATATTAACGTCTTGTCGTGTCCGTCAGTATATTTACGGTATATTTTGATAATGGCTTGGTATATTTGGGTATATTTCTGTGGGTCAGGCGGTATATTTTATTGATAAATCTTGTGGGTCTGTCTGTCCTTCGGAAACTAGAGCTGTCAAACAATTGATAGTTGAGCCATCGATAGTTGTGAATGTTTTGAAAAAAAAAAACAGTCGATACTATCATAATAATTATTAAAAAACCATTGAAAGCTTTTAGGAACGTGTCCATTGTAAAAATTAGATGCCAACTGTCAATTTGGTTACAAATTTGTCTTCGTATTTTAGAGCAGCCAATCCAAACAATATCAAAAGCGCAACAACTGTAGCTCGATACTATCATGACGGTGATAGTAGCGGATAGCAGCAAAACATCGATGCTATCGATAGTGCCCTCGATGGTTTGACACCGACAAATAAAGAACAATAAATCCGTTTGTTGCACAAAAAATACATAAATTTAATCGCAATTGATAATAAAGTACTGTGCTTACACATACCAGTGCTTGTGCGTGTGCGGTGGCCGTCGGTGGAACAACATTGTTAATTAGAGCATCGAAATAGAAGCGTGTACAAAGTTGCGGAATTATCGTCGTGGTCGTGTCATTAGAAAAAGAAGAGAAGAGAGCGAGCGAACGAGAGCCGCCGCGACACCAGCCACCAGGCCGCAGTTGCCGCATTTGGCCGCCCGCACGCATAAAATATGATCAAATTGCTACGAAATTGATTTCAATTGGCGACTCAACAAAAGGTACGTTCGATAAACTGCTCATTTCCCTTCTCCACCCACCCCGCTCCACGCCTCTTCTTGTTCGCTGTGCCGCCGCCTCGGCTCGCATTCCTCATCGCGTTCTCTTTTCTCGCTTCAACATGTTCTTTGGTCGCCATTGGACATTGAATCGGCGGCGACCGCCTGGCTGCATTTACATAAAGCATGCTATGCCGCCTGCAGAAGCAGACGGCTCGCTTTAGCTAGAATTTCGACACTCGGATTCAAGCTGGTGGCAAGTGTCGCCTTTCTTTTGCCCATTGAACATATTTTCTAATTTCCTTTATTACACGGGCATCCGCGCGCACTTGTGTGTGTGTGTGTGTTTCAGTGCGTGTTCGTTCATGTTTCTGGCCGTGTGTGTGTTGTGTTTGGCAGAGATGAGTAATGCTGCGACTCTCGATTCCGTGGAGCGACAGTGACAGATGTGATTTTCTGCCTCCCAAAGGGTTCTACTAAAAATAAATGCACGCCCAGTGAAAAGTTGCATGTGTGCTCCCATTCCATTTAAACTTAACACTTTATTAAATCACTTGTAGAACATTTAAACAAAATAACCCTTTGAACCTGTTACACACACCTCCGATGTTCGTGACTAATTTTTGGCTCATCTCTAATTGGGTAGGGAGTGTGTGTGTCATGAAAGTTGAGTAGAAAAAACACAGTCTGCACGCCGCCGAGGCCGCATGGTAGTTCTATTGTGGTTTTAATTATGGTACCTATTTGATCATTGTCCGGGGATGCTCTCCACCAATCTTTCGCTGTTTATTTGGATTTTTTATTACTCCAAGACAGCTGTGCAGGGTTGCCAGATCGCTGGCGGCGCAAATGTTCCGGTAGCGGGGACTCTCCCTAACCTCAACCTGCAAATTTCGTTGATGTGTTTTTCTCTCTTTCGTTCGTACGTTACACAGCAAACGAAACTTCAATGTTTGGCGCCTGTAGCGAATCTTGAGACTCATTTGCACCCCTCCGAAAAGAACAAGCAACGGAGCAAGCCAAGTAATTGAGTTTCCCCAAAGAATGGCGCAGACAACACAGCCGCAGCAGGCAGCGCCACCGCCATCATCGGTCGGAGCAGGCACTGCGGCACCCGCAGCAGTCGGATCATCATCAGCAGCAGCACAGCCAGTTGCTGCAACCACACCCGTGTCGAATCCATCCACTCCGCAGCCTCCTAGCACCAACAATACCAACAACAACAACAATAATAGTGTGGTAACACCCGCTGGAAACAACAACAATAACGTGATGGCGGCACCCGTACAGGCCTTCACACCCGCCGGACAGCCGATATACAACCAGATGTACATGCCCGCTCATGGAGGACATCCGCATGCGGGCGGGCACTATGCTCCGGCCATGGTCCAGGCACCTATTCCGAACAACGTCTATGTGAACAATGTCACTGCCAATGTGAATCTGCATGGCTGGCCGCACTCGGTTCCCTACATACCCGGAGGAGGACAGGCCCACTACATGCCCCACGGAGACATGCCACAGGACCAGCAGGTAAGTGACCAGACGCTAAACAGCCAAAAAGAGAATCTCCCCACTAACAATTCGTATTCGATCTTCAGGGCAATCCATTGATGCAACAGCTGCAGCAGTTGCCCATTAATATGGCTCCCCAGGGCGTCAGTCCCAATCCGCATAATCCTGGCATGGGTGGGCGCGGACGTGGACGTGGTCGCAGCCGTGGAGGAGGTGGCCTGCGACGCAATGATTACCAGGGACCACGTCACCTGCAACAGCAGCAGCAACAGCTGATTCCCCTGTCCCAACAGCAACAACTGCAGCCGGACAGCGCCGGTGCTGGGGCACCGAACATGCAGCTGCAGCCGGACCATCAGCTGGTGGCCGGACCGCCCGAAGCGCAAATGCAGCCTGTTCCCTACTACGCGCCCCACCATTACGCCTACGGGCCGTATCCTGCTACCTATTTTGCACCGCAGCATGCGGCCCTGCAGGCCCCACCCAATGCTGCCGCAGCGGCGGCTGCCCAGCAGGTCACCGGCCATCCGCTCTACATGCCGATGATGTACAATCCGAACCCCATGTACAACTGCATGGGAGGCTACGTCTACCAGCATCTAATCCCACAGCCGGAGTACCCATACGTGCCCGAGGATGGCAGCCAGGCGGGCGGCGTAGATGAGCGTGGCCAGCAGCCGGACGGTGGCATGCCACAGATTTGGCATCCCGGCCCCATGTATGCGGAGGAGTACGCCGACGTGCTTCAGCAGCAGCAGCAACAACAGCAGCAGCTGCAGCAGCAGGTCTCGCACCCGAATGGAGTCCCTGGTCTCGGGGATGAGCTCAACCACAACAGCTTCTCGCTGCCCTCCTCGGAAACGGGCAGCATGCTGAGCCCCAGCTGTTCCGTCTACGAGGCGTCGATCCATGAGATGCAGCACCAAATGGGCGTCATGCAGATCTACGACGATGGACATATGGCCTCCCTGCAGACCATTCACCCGGTAGCTGGTCCAGTCCAACAGGTTTGTGCTGAATCCCCTTCCTGTTGCCCTTTCTTTCTATTAAATGATTTCTTTCCCTTTTTTGCGTATAGTACGAGGATGAGCTATCGGAATGCGGTGTGGCACCGCCTGGTGCCATTCCCGTGGAATGGTCAGCCCAGATACCAATTGCCGGTCCAGCAGCCATGTTGCCGCCACCTCCACAGTGGCAGGCGGGGCAAGAATGGCAACAACCGCCAACAGTAACAGTGGCCATTGAACAGCAGCAACCGCAAATGATTCAGGCGCAGCCACCACAAGCACCCACACCGACGCCACAGCAGCAACAGCCGCCGCCGCCGCCGCATCAGGATCAGCTGGGTGAGTGTAACTCACAATATTTGCAATAATAGATTATGGAAAGCATATGTTGATGGTATTTGTGGGGTATACGAGTAGTATGTCATTAATGACTCGCTCTTTGTTTGTGTATTCTCTCGAGTTGTTCCCATTTTCAATTACTGCCAAGTGGGAGAATCGAATCACTTGTTCATAATCTAAACTCAATTTGTTCGATGCCTCTTTTTGATAAGCATTGTTGGTTCGTTCACTCAATTCGAATGCCCTTTTCTGTGGGGTATATCGCGTTGGCAGAGCAGTTTGTGATGCCTCAAGGAGACTGTATGGATAGAAGGGGGGATTTCACGGCTTTAGGCAGCATATCCAAGCGTCGACTTGCCCTGGCTTCTCTTTTTCTCTATTTCTCTTTTATTGCATTTTCCATTTGTATTTTGGAATTTGTCATGGCATGCCTTCGATAACGTCGTGTTTAAATGCAGTTTGTTTTTTTTTATTTTTGCTTACTCTTGCTTTTCACGCTGCTCCGCTGCCGCTGCCGCTGCCACTGCCACTGCCACTGCTCTACTCAGCTTACGGTCGTTCGATGGAGTGTTTTCTGGGCAGGTGAAGTGGAGAGGAGCAGCCACTGCCTCGTCACATGAGCCACAGGGAAAAAAAAACAACATTGTCATCAGCAGTACATCGTACGTTTGGTTGTTGCTAGGCCAGTGGCTATGGCTATGGTTTTTGCTTTGGCTTTTGGTCCCCTGCCCTTATGTGGAGTTGGTGGTGCCCCACCAACAGGCACGGCACCGCTGCTGGCGTTGCATTTGTTGTTCGAAATGCTCTACCCCCTTTCTATAATCAGCTGCACAAGCGGCTGCCCTGCCGTCTTGTTGTTTGTCGTTTGTTTTGCACGCTTATCAAAATGAGAGCCGATGCAGAGTCCAAGCTGTGGTTACTTCTTGGCCCCTTATTCCCGCTCGGATTTGTCGTTAATACTAATTATTAATCACTTGAGGAATTGCATTCCCATTTTTGCAGCACAAAAGTCACGCCATAAATGGGATCTTCTGCCGCCTATTCGGTTGATCGAGAACCACTTGTACGAATCATAAATATCTTAATAGACGTATGAAGTGCTCGAATTGACAAACTGATTGGGTTCCAGTCGCTGTCTCCCTCCGGCTGTTACACTCGTTCCCCTTTCGTTGAATGTGCCAGTTTTATTGCTGTTTTGTTAGCACTTGGTGTGGTCTGGTCTGGTCTGGTCTCTCGGCGGGGCATTCGTATAAATAGCGCCCGATAGCAGCTACCCAAGTGTTTGTCCATACACTAGTCGATTGATAGGCGATATCGATACGGCCGGCTCTGTGGCCTCTACAATTAGTAATGTTCGTACATAGCTCTACCTATAGCCAGACCCCTAGGCTATTGATTAGCCTAATCAAATGGGGGCTCTGAGAAGGTTTACGATGCCACAGTCATGTTCTCCTTTCCACCCAGTAAGCGGCGGCGCACGACACCCAAGAAGAAGGCCTGCCCTCGAAGCTGGTAGAGCTCTACCGATAAATGCAACACGTTAAGTCTGAAAGAAAGAGGTTTTTTTGTTTTGTTTCACTATCTGTTTGGTTTGATCGATGGATTTTAGAGCAGCGTTTTGTTAAAACAGATTATAAACAGCGCCACATGTGCTTCCGCTTGACTAAGGAAATATACATAACACTGAATATCTTTGCGAAATGTTGTTAAAATGTATGGCAATTTCTTTATTACTATTTATCGATCTCCTCCTCTTTGCTCTCAATCTCCACAAACACTTATTGTTCTTTTGGTTTTTTACCCGCCCATTCTTATGCGTATAACAGTTTTTTTTAGAATATTTCTTGCATTTTTTGTATTTTTTTGGTAGCTGCGTCGTGTAGCTGTAGCTTTAATGTTTTTCGTTCGCTTATTGCTTTATTGGATTTCTAAATATTTTTTTTTGAGTTGAATATTTTTTTGTTTTCAAAAAGGTATATGTATTGTATGTATAACACGTCAACGTACAATATATATTTGTCATCTCTTCTCTTCTCGATTTGCGACCTCTTTGTTCCTCACGGTGTATAACAGTATAACAGAAGGCACAACAAGCCTTCAAAAATGTATTTTTCTTCTTTTATTTTTAGACTCTTTTATTTCATTTGCTTTTTTTATTGGCGTTTCCTCTTTGCTTTTTGCTTTGCTCTTTCCTTTCTTTTGATGTTTCTCTATTCAGGTTTATTTATCTTTTTCTGTATGTGGACTTTTTGAAATTGTTTGTAAAATGAGACATAAAATTTGTAATTGTTTTTGGTTTTTTTTTACATTAATTATTTAAAATTGAAAACAATTTTAGTTTTTATTTTTAAAGTTCCGCTGTTGTTGTGTTGTTGGTTTTTTTGTGTGTGTTTGTGTTTAGTTTAGTTTTTGTAGCATTTCTCGTTTCTTAAAAAATATAAAATTTATTAGTTTTTAATAGTTGTTGCCGCCGTCGACTCTCTTTCTTTTTAAGTTTTATTCGGGCCACCCGCTCCAGATCTCTAGAGACTCTACAGACACGTACATAAACTATTTCTAGCACTACTCTTTGCTACATTTTTTACTCGTTAAAGATACACGTTAGAATTCTCTCGCTACTTTTGTATGACACATTTTTTTGTTTTGTTATAACAGCTCGGCGTTTTTTTTGTAACAACAACAACAACAACAACTATAATTCCTATAATTATTACACAATAATCATAAATCTTTAATAGTATTAATAGTAATCGTAAGGTTTTTTCTTTAATAACAAAACAAATAATAGAAATTATTTTATACAAATATTTTGTGTGAGTTTTTGTTGCTGTATAACAGTTGCAAAACTATAATCGATATCATTAGTATATCAGTTTAGCCCATTGTTGCTTTCTTTTTCTTTTCCTTGCTTCTTTGTTGTTGTTTTTTTTTTTTGTTGTGTTCTTGGTGATTTATGAGCATATAATATTTGTTTTATTAGTAGCCATAAAAGCTGAAGGTCTCTTCCCCTCCGCCCCTGGAATCTTATCTGAAAGCTAAAGCCAAGTTTCTTGTAGAAATTCCAGCATAAAGCAATCCTCTATGCTGCTGCTGCTGTTAGTAATAGTTTCTGCTGCTGCTGCTGCTGGGGCTTTATATAGTATATATCATTTATATTTACGATCCTTGTATATATGTTTTTAGTTTTGTGTGTGTGTGTGTGTGTGTGTGATCTCTTTCTCTCTACAATACTCGCTTTTCATTCGACCCGCTTTCTGTATATAAGTTATAGAAAAATATCTGGCTGGATCCTTCAATCGTTCCCTGGTGTTCCCCCTCTTGCCTATGTGTAAATTCATCTCTTTTCTGTGCCCCACGTGCCTACGGCCCGGCCCCTTTTGAATACTTAGAGCTTTGATTCCGATGTCATTGCTTCTGCGGCCTTCTTCTGTTGCTGCGGAAACATCGGGTGTGGCGGCTCCTCGTGCTGCGGACTGGCCAGCGTTTTGATGATCTTGGGCACTATGGTGATGGGTTGATCCTCGTCATCCTCCGCCTCCTCATCCTGCTCCTCATCGATGGGCGTGAGAGTCTCCACATGGACGGGCGTCTCATCCGCGGGGCTGCATCGCTTCAGGCAGGGTGCCAAAAAGCTGGTGATCGTCGAGATGCCAAACAGCGCGCCGGCCATGTAGAAGGGCAGATCGTACGTGTGCGTTATATCGTAGATGGCGCCGGCCAGGGGGGTGCCAATCAGAGCGGCGAATCCTCTGAACAGGATGAGCAGGCCAAAGGCATTGGTGAGCTTGTCCAGGCCGAGCAGATCGACCAGGATAATTGACGTTAGCGAGATGTAGCCAGAGATAGCCAAGCCAAAGAATATCGACATCGTGATGTACGCCGAGTAGCTGTAGCATAGCGGGGTGAGGGTCACAGCGATGGTCGACACCAGCAGGCAGCAGTTGTTCAGCAGCAAAGAGTTGACCTGCGGCAGATCCGCCACCCAGCCGCAGAACACGCGACCCACTGTATTGGTGATGCCAATGATGGACAGCAGCATGGCGGCATCTCCCTTGGGTATGTTGTGCTCCTTGGCCGCATCCACCAGATACACAAAGGGCACGTATAGGCCGGCCATGCCAAAGATATTCGACACTCCAATCAGCATGAAGACGGGATCCTTGAGCAGACTCACATCCAGCATGGTGTTCACCACAGACTTAACCGAATCGGGTATGCCCAGGCACGGGCAAAGGTCGTACTCCTCGCGATGCTTCTCGGCGTCCTGCAGGCGATCCAACTTATGCACACTCTGCATGCTCTTCTCGTACTTCGTGAGGGATAGAACTGAGTTTCGATAGCCAGCCAGGGACTTCTGTGACTGATACTGCGGCAGATTTGTGACGGAGCCCGAGTAGAAGATGTCCTTGCGGGACATGGGTCGCACCATTTTGCCGCTGCCACTGCTGCCCTGCCGCTGGGAGAGCGACATTTTTGACGTGGTGAAATCTCCGCCACCGCCCGCCTCCAGATCATTGCGAGAGGTGGCTCTGATGGCCGCCAGCGATGGTTGAAAGCGTTCCGATGCCGAGGTCTTGCGCACGCGATTGAACGAAGGCACGGAACCGTTCTTGGGCAGACCGTGATGGTCGCTGGCCAGAAAGGCGGGCTGTGAGGCGTTCCTGGTCATGGCTCCCCCATCCTGCGAGTGGTACGGACTGTTATCCGATTCGGAGTTGCGATGCGGCCGACGTGGGGGACGTCCGCCAGCCGAGAGCTGTCCATTGCTGTCGGCATTGGGCGGGGACTGGTGCACGTCCACCACCTTTGACTCGGTGATGGTTGGGAGCGTGGACACGGGATGCAGGCCGCCGGCCTGTTGGGCCAGCAGCTCCAGATTGAGGCTCGAATGGACGCCAGGGTCCGCGTTGAGGGGCATCTTCAGTTTCCGCTCCATGGTGCCATCCGGCATCTGGACCATGAAATGCGAACCTGCAAAGGAGCCACGCTCCAGCTGCATCTGCTTCTCCTCGTACATGCGCTGCATCAGGGGCTTCACCTTCTTCTTTTTGGGGTATGTGAGGGGTCGCATCATGGCGCCAAAGATGGCACAATTGAGGATGAGGCCGGCAAAGATGAGGATGGAATTCTTCCAGCCATACTCCTCCAGCAGGTACGTGGCAAGGGGGGCAAAGGCAAAGGTGCCAAAGCCCGAGCCACACACCGCAATGCCCGTGGCCAGCGAACGCTTCGTCTCGAAGTAGTAGCCCACGGCCACCACCGCCGGCAGGTAGATCATTCCAAAGCCGAATCCACCCAGGAATCCATAGGTGAGCATCAGCGTGCTCACGGAATTGCTGAAAGTGCTCAAAACAAAGGCGATGCAGGCGATGATGCTCCCAGCGATGCATACCGTTCGACAGCCGTACTTGTTGGCCAGCGCCGAGACAATGGGTCCGGCCATGAGGTACACTCCGGAGAGGAGACTCCCCACCCAGGCCACGGTGCCCTTGCCCTCGTGGAAGTAGGCCACAAATTCCTCCAGAAAGATGCCGAAAGTGTAGGCAATGCCGTCGACGATCATGTTGCACATGAAGCTGGCAAAGCAGATGACCCAGCCATAGCCACCGTCCGGCGGTGGCGGCAATTCCCCATATTCGCTCTCATCGTCCTCATCCTCGTCGTTCTCGTCCTCCGGAGTGTCGTTCTGTTCGGCGGTCAAATGGGCTGCCTCCTCGCAGGTCAGCTCGCTGTCCGTCCGATCGAATTTGCGCAGGCGTGCCGCAGAGTTGCCCGACACAGCGGTATTACTTCCGCCATTGGTATCCACCATGATGCAGCGGTACTTGTGATGATGCGTCTATTCCGTTAATGCACACGCACACGCGACGGAGCAAAAGGAAAGAGTGCAAGTGCAAGGAGAGAGAATGGTTGAAGGAGGAAGAAGTGTGTGCGCCCGCGCCCGCGCCTCGTCTGTTCCCGTTCCCGTTTTCGACTGGCGATGTCGAGAATTCCGTTGCCGACGTTGTGACTCTTTTTTTTTTATCTTTGCTGCTGCTGCTGCTGCTGCTGCTCTCTTTCTCACGCTATCGTTCTGTCGCTCTCTGGCTCACCCCCTCGGACAGCCAAGCAGCATTTGCCACTGTGTTCTCTCTCCCTCTCCCAAGCTTTTGCACTCAGTCTCTTTTAATATTTGCTTTTGCTCTCACTCCCTCTCTCACTCTTCCTGTCTTACTGCGACTGCATGCGCCGTTATGTGTGTGTGTGTGTGTGTGTGCGTGTGTGCTTGCTGGCTGTTGTTTTTGTCAATTGTTATTGAGTTTTGTTTTTGCTTTCATTTACTTTTGATAAATAAATTTATTTATTTATTAGCGATAGATAGGCGTAGGCCGTGTGCATATATTCAAAATATCTATCTATAAGGTCTCTGCTGCTGCTGCTGCTACTGCTGCTCGCGTCGCACTTCTTGTCTATGTGCACTTTGAGCTCTTTACACTAAAAAATTAGTTAATACTTTTAACTTTTTAAAAACTGTGTCAAGTCACGCTTTGTTTGTGCTTTTGCGAATTGGAATATTTAATAGATTTTCAAATATTTATTTTCGAATATTTAATTATGAGGATTTTTGTGTGTTTTTTTGTTATATTTTGCATTTGCAATTTTTGTCACGTTTTGTGCTGCTGTGCTTTTGCTGCTATTTCTTGTTGTTTGCTTTAATTTTGTTTTACCGTTGCACTTGCAGCTGCATCGCTGAGGTCACAGCAGAATGTTTTGTTTTGGTTGTTAGCTTTAGCTTGCTTCCTTCTCCTCGAGATTTCCCTGACTTTGCCACTTTTTTGTTGTTTTTTTTTTGTGTTTGTTCTTTGGTTTCTGCTGCCTTCTGTCTTTGCTTTTAGTTTTGTTATTTCTTTGCCCGTCGCTGCCTTTGCCTTTGCTTCTGTGTGTCAGATTCTGTTTCTGCTCTGCTTCTAGTTCATGTGCTTTTTCGGCACTGCTGGTTTTTTTTTCGGGGGTGCTGTACGTGTACGTACGCTACTCTCGATGATAGGTACGGTACGTAGCCAGCCGCTCTGTACGTCGTAATAGTCACTGCCACTGCCACTGCAATTGTATAATTAATTGGTGTCTTTGAGTTTTATTGAGCATTGAATATTGGTTTAAAGAACGTCCTCCGGCCAACGGATGAAGCGGCGGTGACCGCTGAAAAACCGTTGTGATCGATAAACGGCGGAGCGGCAGTGAAGCACGGTAGAATTTACACCACACCACACACACGGCACACGGTTGGGCTGGGAAGAGGGGAGTAAGTAGACGACACTCACGCCGAGCTTACGTGGTTCTCATCGTCAACACACAACATTCACGCGTCCGGACACTTTCAGCTGCATTTGCATTTTCCGCCCCAAACCAACAACCCGCGCAGCTGTTGTTGCTGTTGTTGTTGCTGTTTTGATTTTTGTTTGTAATTTTCAATTCAAATAATTTTGACTTTTTTCTTTGTGCTGACCGCTTGTACAGCGATGGCAGAGTCGTCGTATTGGGTCGGGGTGGTGGGGATAGGAGGAGGGTTTCTTTGATGGTGGTGGAGATATATAGAGAGATGCCAACGAAAATAATAAGGAACACAGAACACACGTCGCTCCGCGTCTCGGTTCTCTCCGTCAATGTTCCACGTTCTGTTCTTGACTGGTGCGCCGTTCGCTGCGGAATGAAAATTCGTCGTAACCAAAAGCCAAGAGGCGGTAGCAGCAGCAGCAGCAGCAGTAGTGACAGTGCCACTGCCACTGTTATACGATATACAAAGCACACATAGCGGCAGCAGTAGCAACAAAGACAATTTGAAAAACGTTGTAAAACGGCAAAAACAAAAAAATACAAATGCGAAAACTAAATGGCTCTCTCTCGTTCTGTCGCTCTGCGTTAGAATGCATTTGAAGTTCAAGCTCACAGAGCGCAAGCTCCACTCTCGCGAGCCGCCATGTGAAAGAAGCTCTCGCTCTCTCTCTCTCTCTCTCAGGTGAATTTTTTTTTTTTTTTTTTTTTGGCTCTCTTTGGGGGCTTTGCAGGTATATGATGATGAGCCTTTGACTTTGCAAGGGGTTGACGCTGGTTTTGGTTCTCATACGCCTGAACAGCTGATTGAACAGCAGAGAGTGAGAGTCGAGCCGAGCAAGCCGAGAAGGAATTCTCAGAGACAGAGATTTGGGCAAACAACCCCCCTGCGGTGCCCCTACTCCAATGGGGTGGTATTTTATTTGAATTGTTGTTTCTGTTGCCGAGGGAAAGCCTGAAAAACCGGTAGCCGCTGGCGCGCCACATGGCGACCAAGCGACCGACCCCCGTATAACAGTTCTTTCGTATAACAGAGCAGAGCTAATGCCTCGAAGCAAAGAGCATACGACAAAACTGTTGCGCTCTTTAGTTGCGATTTAGGTTAAAGGTTAACCTCTCTGTCCGACCGACCGACCGCCCGCCCACACCCCACCCCCAAAGACTTTTACTTTTCAATCCTACGCATGTATGTGTGTGTGTGGTGTGGGGTTGTGCGTGTGGGAGAATAGGTTTTTCGTATGCCGCCTTTTAGGCGCCGACAAAACTACCATTCGAGTGCGAAGATTGTATAATCCGTACATTATCTTAGCGTGTTTCCACCTATAAAATGCATTCGACATGGACAGCGTGATAAGCTCCCGCCGACGTCGCCGCCGCCGGTTTTACCCTCCTCAAGTATCTCGAGTATTTCAGCCCTTTTATTTTGCGTCTCGCGTTTGTTGCCAGGTCATAAAAATCGTACGAAAAAAAATGTGCTTTGGTTTCTGGTTTATAACAGTTTGTTGCTGCTGGTGGTGGTGGTGCCATGTGCTATGGTCGTAGACGTAGACCACTTTGGTGTGTGTGTGTGTGTGTGTGCTTTTTTTTGTATTCTTAAGAGACTCTTGAGGCGGAATGGCGCTATGCCGCTCTCTTGCTTACCAAGACAGAGCGAGAGAGAGAGAAGGGTTCTCTCAAGGGGTGGCTTAAGAAGTGTATGGTCGCTCGGTCTATTAGTCTTCCTTTGGGTGGTTGGTTGGTTGTTGGTCGGTCAATGTCATTCATAAAAATTCCATGCCACAAACCAACACACACACACAGATAAACTCTTGGGGGCACACACACACACACACACACACACACACACACAGAGGCATGCACTCGATATTGTGGGTCAACGCCAGAGGGCGCCTCTTCCTGCCAGTGCCTTTGATTCCCTCTGCTCTCTGCCTTGGCTTTTTCCTGCCTCTTCCTTTAGTTTTTTCCTGCCTGCCTGCCTGTTTGTGCCATAAGTTGATTTGCAAGCTTCCTCTATGATTAGCGCATTAGAAGAGCTCAAATGGGCAACGCCTCCGCATTTTCCTTGAATACTTTTGCTGTGCAAAGGAAATGGCTATTTAGTGAAAGGCGCGTGCATAAAATCCACTCAAAGGGAAATATAATACGCCAGCAGCGGCAGAGCAAAACTGTAATGCCACAGGCACAGGAACAGCAACAGCAACAACAACAGCCAAGAGCGCGTGTGCCGCCTCGCATATCGCACATAGGATTAAATTATAAATGCATGAAACATGAAATGCAAAACGCAGTATCAGGACCAGGACATGGCTTAATCCCTCCTACACGTGGCACGCGGCAAAGCTTGACCGCTGCAATCGGTTGACAAGGGGCGAAAGAGAGTGGAGGGCATTCAGATGATATGCCGCACATGCGGCAGCAGGTGTCTTTAAATTAGTTGCACCATTTGACAAGAATGCTGGGTGAATTCCGACACTGTGGGAATGGGGCCAAAACACACACAGAGAAAAAGAAGAACATTCTAGAGGCAGGAACGAGGAGGCGCAATCAAAGGGGAGGCTAAGAGATGGGCCTCTATATATCACAGATGTTCGCAATGAATGATGGCAGTAGAACCATCCATGACAATCCTTGAGGCAGAAGGTCTTTCACATAGAGAACAGAGGCGGAGAGAGAGAGAGATAGGGAAGCAGCTTCCTTCTCTTGCTACATCTTCTGTTCTTTTCATTATTCCAGAAAATAAAAAGGTTGAATGAACCAAGCGACGGCCATGACGATGCCTCTGAGCAGTTCAATAAAAGCCATGACAATCCACCAGAGCACCCCCACCCGCACCCCCTTTGTGCCACCACCTTCCTCTGTGTGTGTGTGTTCCTTCCTCCTACTGTTAAGCACGGGGGAGGTGCTAGGGGGGCATTTTCTTTGTTAATGAAAATGAAAATTGTGCAAACGTCGCGTTGTGTGCAGTCAATGTGCTTTGTTTCGTTTTTTACGCTGTTCACATTTTCTTTTGCCGCTTTGCCTCTTACATACATACATATCTAGCGGATACATAGATAAACATGTGCACAGGTACAGCTACAGCTACAGCAACATCTCATAGATACACACACACACACAGTATCTATCTATCTAGTAGTAGGTATGTATGACGCAGTTTGTGGCGGCTGTGACATGTTTTACCTACCTTGCTGCTCTCTGGCGTTGCGTAGTCAATTGCCCGCGCTCAACTTGTTGCTGCTTTTGCTTAGTATGCAACGCGTTTAAGCCGCTCGAGTCTGGCCTCTGTTTGGGGTCTGTCCTGTATATGTATGTACATCTGTCAGATACATTTGTATCTAGCCCATGGCTGAATGGAGCCGCGCTCTCTTCGCACTTCGCTCTACGCTCTACGCATTTATATGCTAATGATGTGGGAGTTCAACAGAAGTGGGTGATGAAAGGATATACTACATGACAACAGACGCGCGTGTCCTTGGCACTGCGCCCTGTCCACCCCTGTCGCTCAAATGTCAGTTTACCTTAGCTCTCGCTCAGTCAATGCGACCCCCGGCCTTGCCCTTGCCTCCCCTTATGACATCTCTCCCTTTCTTGCATATATATTGTATATAATTCCACCGATATTACACCATTTGCTCCCGCTAACTTTATTGTTTTGTTACTTTTTTACTTTCCTCTTATGATGATGCTGATGATGAGGATGGGAGTGCTTCTGCTTCTTCTGCTCCCGGCATGAAGCCAAGGCGAAGGTCGCTCATCTGTTGTAGAATTATGCAATTTTCACTCTCGCAATCGGAATCGGAATCGCACTCGCCATTTCATTTATTGAGAGAGAGAGAGAGAGAGTGAGCGAGAAAGTCTTTGGGTATTATTTATTGTAAATTGACACAAATGAATTCAATTGAATTGCAGTAGAAACAAAACAATTGCCAAAGAGAAGCTACCCTTAGCAGGGTGTCTCTGCTGTTAGCTTTTGGTTGCCTGTTTTCCTGTTGCCAAGGGGGGCGCAGGCTTTTCCCGCGCTGTAGATTAGCTATCATATTTCCATGAAGGGGCAGCCGCAGCCACAGCCACAGAAGAGTCAGCGGATAAAGTACTGAGAATGCCGCATAATAGTAGAAAGCCATGATAAAGGGGTGGGGGTACGGGGGGTACGGGTAGCATTCAAATCAATAGCGTGGTCGAATCGTTACGCATACAAAATGCCTTCTTCGCCGCTTACGAAACTTTCCCATTCCCCTCCCCCACCACCATTTCTCATCCTGTGTTCACTCCACTTCCACATGCCGCCCCACATGCACTTGTACCGCCGCGCAAACACATATCATATTCACATTTTTATATACATATACTATATATCTCAGCATTTTTATGCGTTATGTGCATTCCTTTGTTTCCACGCTTAACCCAACTTTGGACGGACTTTGGTTTGTTTTTCTTGTACCGTACCCCTTTGCAAGGGGTAGAGGGTATGGTGATATCAAGGGGATGTTTGCAGACCTGTAAAAAAGTCCAGATTTATTGGGCATTTGTAGAAATATGAATACTGCAGTTCATACAAAAATTCACTCTCAAGTTACAACTAAAGCAACTGCCCTAAAAATAACTTATAAATGCTAAACAACAGAATTTGTTACCAAAATTATAAAACTTAGCTTAGATAAATTATTTTCAATGCGAACTTCCTTCAGTAGAGGGTTCTATCAATTGCCATTTGCTGAGGTGTATCTTTGGCTACTTAAATAAAAAAGAGAATGAGAAAAGAGCTGCCATTCGATGCATCAAATTGTATCAGAACCGAATGAAGACCTGAAGGGTATCAAAAGCTTCGACCACTGTCCGCTGGTTACCCCTTTCTGTTCCATCTTTTATTATTTCCCTATTTTTGTGATGGTGTGAGTCAGTCAGTGACTGATTAACAACTAATCAACAATTTCATGTATTTGTACTCGTATCTACATACGCGCATAAAGAGTGACAGAGAGAGAGAGGGTGGTGGTGCATATGGGCCTAAGAGATACATTTACAAGTATATAGAACGATACATATTCTTGCATGTATATAAACATATATTCTAAGTCTTGTGATAATTGTTTTGTGGTCAACGAACGCGTTTTGTTTTGATTCCCAAATGAACCATGAAACTCACTCGATTGTTTGTTCACTTTTCACTTGTTGTTGATTCTCTCAATTAAAAGCGCCCCCATATCGTGTTTGCATATGCCATACTCCGTAGATCTCTCGCTTTGTGGCTATGGGGGCTATGGGATCGAAGCTCAATAAGCTCAAATTACTCATAGAGAATAAGCCTATATGTGTGTGCCCCTCAGACGCTGCCGATGCTGTTTGCCTCTGCTGTCTGCCGCTTCTGTTGCTAGCTAATAAAAATTGAATAAAATCGCGCTTTCAATAACAGCAACAATTAGATTGATGGGCAGCGCCGCTTAATGCGAGAACAAGTAAGGGGTATAAGGGGGTGTATTCTACATGTCCATAAATGAAACACAAATTTGACCCATTTTGGTTGATTATTTTGGATGGGATCACGGATACCAACATTTGTTACGAAATTCAATGAAGCTCTAAGCAACTGTTATACACACTGCATACTGTTATAATTTTGAGGGCAGTTATAAAAGTTTGTGGATGTGAATGAAAGCGAAAGCGAATGGGTATTTGTAGTATATTCAGTTTTATTACGAATTTTTGTAAGCAATGTTTATTAGTTGTGCTAGTATTTTTCGTTAGTAATATTCAGTATTTTTTTATTTAGTATTTATATTTTAAATTTTTTATAGAATTTATTATTTTGATGGTGTTTTTGAAGTTTTAGTTTGGGGTTCTTTTAAGCCTTTCCCCATCAAAATTCGAAGTGGAATGAAGTGCAGGAACAGCAATACTCTAATGGATATTTATAGTTCCACTACTATCCATCTCCTCTACTCTCCATTCTTCCCTTTTTCCGTCTCTGTTTTCCACTATTCCCATCTAACGCATTGAAATGACAAATGGAAATTAAGTACAGTCTCGTATTCGTATTCGTATTCTCTCTCGTTTTGTGTTTCGTGCCTGACAATTTCCTTGTTTGCTATTGTTGTTATTTCTGTTGCTATTGTTGGTGCAGTCAACTTATTGCAATTTACCTGTGCACTCATGTCTGTAATTATCCATCCAACCTTGTGACAGCACACGGATCGAAGCCCCCCCCTGTCTCTCACTCTATCGCACTCGCTCTCTCTCTCTATAGAACCCCCCCATATATTCTATCGTTATGGTAACGTATATCAAAAGCTGTTGCTATTGCAACCCAAAAGCTAACACCCTGGCATAGATTTTTTTTCCATATATACTATAATATATATTTCCACTATTTTTAATGCATTAATCTCTATGGCAGCAGCTGCGGCTGCTTCTGCGGCAGCTCCACAAATTTCCATACAAATATCTCTGTTTGTAGTTGGTTTTTATTTTCGATTTTGTGCTATATTTATTGAAGTATTTAATAATTCTGTGAGAGAGTCGCTCGTTAATTGCTAATTGAAATTAATTAACACATTCAGAATTCCATGGATATCTATCTCCAGAGAGAGTGGGGACATTCGGGGTAATGTTTGTTTGGTTTGCTCTCAGACTGACTGTCATATGATGTTCAGCAAAGGGGCCTCCCTTTCGGAGGTGGTGGGGAGTGGAGTATGGAGAGGGCGGACACTTGATAAGTAGGCGTTTAGCACCGCCTATCTTTCAATTGTCGAACGAAAGCACTTCGTTAGAAGTACTCTGCTAATGTGTGTCTAAATACTGCCTTTTTGTGGATCAAAGGAATTGTCAAATATATGTGCCATATGCATGTAGTTTTAGCACGTTTTGAGATACGTTTAAAAATAATTACAAGTACATTTCGCAACTCAGAATGTGGACCAGAAATTGTGTCTACCAGAAAAATGAGAATTTATAAATTTTCTGCTTGGAAATTTGGTGATCTGCCAGCCAGGAATTTCGGGAATTTGATGACAAACTAAATGGGGAAGTCTTCTGCCCTAATTTTCATCGAATTTAAAAGAGATTTAGGCAGATTTCATGACCCATTTCCCATGACTGCGATTGCATTTTATTGATTCATTTCAAAAAATTCGTTGCCTCATATCATCTTGGGACAACATTTTGCTTCTGTTTTGTCATCGATTGGGATGACGTTGGGATGTGGATCATGTGAATGTTTACTCGTCTCCCGTTTTGTCCCTTGTTCACTCCTCTGTTGGATTAACCTTGTTCCTCATCCCTCTCTGTTTCACTTTTTCACTTTTCCCATCATTTCTTATCGCATCGCATGTCGAATAATGTATTTTATCTTTCGTATACCCTTATCTCGGAGGCAATCGAGTGCCGAAGTTCGCCTATACAATGGGGGGGAGTTTTATTGTGATTTAATAATCATTTTTGTATTGGCGGCTTGTCGATTGCCGAACAAATAGTCTTGTTTTCGTGTACCCCCCGCCCCACACTACTCAGGTTTTTGACATGGATTAGTTATGTTTTCTATTTGCACTGATAGCGGCCCCCGACAGGCAATCTGTTGGACAAAATTGAAGGCCTGTTGGGCGGTCGGTCTGCTTATCACTGCGAATAGTATTTTGTAGAGCAGTAAACCACCACAGCAACAGCATCACAAGAGAACAGAGTATGGGTACGTCCATAACTCTCTTCGTTGGGTTTCACTCGAGTCAGAGGAAAATAAGAGTGAAAGGGGGGCAGGTCTTTGGGCGCGGGAGCTGTTTGATACTCTTTGCAGATCGTTTGTTCAGCCTGCACGTTAATAATACCTGCACTGATCAAACTTATCTTTTTCTATAAATTGATTTCAACTTTTGTTTGTGAAATTTTCTGTATCGCAGATGGTTCCCCTATTTGGGGACTTGACAAAAACAAATCAATTGAGTAAAGGGCGGCATACAAACATTTTAATTGCTGGGAAGAGCAAAATATTTACGATGGTACCATCCAGAAATTCATTATGTGTCTGTCTGTCGGCTGTTTAATGACGGAACAGAATTCGATCCCACAATAAAGTGCTGCGCTGCGCTGCTCGCTCGCTGAAGTTGAAGATTATTTTAGCATCGTTTAGCAATCAATTGGCATCAATTATGTGGGGGATATTGTAAATTAGTTTGTGGCTTGTGGCAATTGAATTTTTGTCGGCTGATCAGGCAAAAAAAAATGCCTTTTACTGATTCTCTATTTTGCTTTTTTCCATTTCTTTTGCAGTTGTTGAGAAAAATTTGATAAACAATAACAATGAAGTTCCTTTGGAGGAGATTCTGAGCAATGAAAAACAGCAGCAGATCGAAATGGAGTATCAGCAGCAACAACAGCAGCAGCAGCAGCAAGCACATCCTCCTCCACCGAAACAACATCAGCAAAAGTTGACCCAACAAATTGAGAAGCAGGCAACGAAAGTGGCTACCAATTTGGTAGTGGCAACAGTGGCACCTCAGCAGCAACAGCAGCAGCAGCAGGCAGCACCACAGCATCATCAACAGCAACAGACATCCCCAGTGGTGGTGCCTCAGCAGCAGCCACAGACCAGCTACCAGGAGATGCAACATCAGCCACAGCAGCAGCCACAGCAACAGCAGCAGCAGGCGCCACAGCAGCAAGTGCGAAAGCCGCCACAGCAATACAATCAATCGCAGCAGCATCAGGTGCGCCGCAAATACTCGTCGGAGTACAACCACCATCACCAGGGCGCAGGAGGCGGCAACAGCAGCGAGACGGGCATACAGACCACAAAGACCATGTCCTGGACAAACTCAGCGCAGCACAAGAAGTCTACGCAGTCCGTGTCGGTGACGGCATCGCCCAACAATGTGAACAACGGTCCAGGAGCTGCACCAGCAGCAGCAGGCGGCAGTGGAGGGTTCAGCAAATCCGGCGGCTACAGTCATACCACAAGGACGTACACCAATCAGCAGCATTACCAGCAGCAGCACTATCAGAATAATTATACGAACAACAGCAGCACCAGCAGCAATAGCAGCAGCAGCGGTGGCGGCGGCAACAACAGCAGCAGTGGCAGCAACAATCAACAACAACAACAGCAGCAGCAGCAGCAACAGCAGCAACAACAACAACAACAACAGCAACAGCCACAAGTGCGTACCTATGGAACGATGAAGGTGCCCTCGTCGCCGGTGGCAAGCAATGCCCCACTGCTAGAGCGGAAGAACAGTCAGCAGGGAGGAGCCACAGTAGCTGCAGCAGCGACAACTACCTCAACGGCGAGCATAACAGCAACGCCGAGCCATTTCCAGCAGCAAGAGACGGGTAATGCGACGGCAGCAGCACCTCAGCAGCAGCAATCACATTACCACCAGCAACAGCAGCAGCAGCAGCCACAACCTGCCACACAGCAACAATATGCTGCACCGCCAGCGGCAGCCACCAAGACCTACAGCAGCTATGCGGCCAAGCGGCAGCATACTGTGTACGAGCAGCCAGCCCTAAGCTCCGTGGTATCCTCATCCGCATCCTCCTCCAATTCCGCCAATCCCCAACCGCCTCTAAATCTGGCGCCGCCCGCACCACCCGCTTCGCAGAGCAACCAAAACAGCGCCGAGAGCTCGCAGCCCTCGTGGGCAAGTCTGTTTGCCAACAAGAAGCCAGTGGCCAAGGTGGCACCCTACGAGGCCAACAAACCAACGCCGGCAACGGCACCTTTAACAGTTATACAGCCAGTGCTGCAGTTGGCACCGCCGCAGCCACAGCTACCGGTGCAACCACAGCCGCAGGCCACTGTAGTAGTTGCAGCAACAGCAGCACCACCACCACAGCCTCAACCTCAACCTCAACCTCAGCTGCAGCCACAGGTGCAGCAGCAGCAGCAGCAGCAGCCACAGCCTCAGCCTCAGACACAACCTCAGTCTCAGCCACAGCCACAGCCTCAACCACAGCCACAACCACAGCTGCAGCCCCCACCAAAACCACAATTGAAGCCCCAACCACAACTGCAGCCACAGCCAAAACTTCAGCCACTTTTGCCCGCGCCGACGGCTCATCAGCAACTGCAACTCCCAGCGCCCGTGCCTGCGCCCATCACGCCTTTGATTACACCCGGAACGCTCTCCTATTCGGCTGCCTCTGCACAGGCGATGCCAGCGCCAAGTCCCTCGGCATCTATCAAACCACTGAAGCCAGAGCCTGCTGCGCGTCCGGCGGCCCAACTCGATGAGTGGACCAGCAAATATGCAGATTTCCTGACACGCCAAAAGACCAATTTGGCGCCCATTAGTCTGCGTCCGAGGGGACTGACCAATCGCTCAAACTATTGCTACATTAACTCTATACTCCAGGCGCTGCTGGGCTGCTCGCCGTTCTACAATCTGCTGCGATCGATACCCAAGCAGGCGGCAGTCCTGAGTGATGTGAAGACGCCTACAGTAAATGCCATGTGAGTAAGGGAATCAAAAAAAAAAAAGGGGAAACGTTGCCACAGACAAGTCAACAGACACCCAGGCACCTTGCTAGCGTTTGTGTTACGTTTGTGGCAGAATAAATGCCACGCGGCTTCGCTTTGCGTTCAGTGCGTTGTCTTCGTTCTGACGGCAATCGCTGGGCGTTGGAGTCGCGTGCACGTGCGCTGTTCTTTCAAGGAGAGTCCTCCCCTTCAATGGAGATTCTCTGCAGAAGCAGGCACAAACATGACAAATAGTCCATATGCCTTGAAGAGTATTCTAATGATTATTTTCTTCTTTCATAGGATGTCTTTTATGAGCAACTTTTTATCGCTGCCCAGTGGCCTGCGTCTGCGTTTGAACACCCTCAACAAGTCGGCCCAGAACAAGGGCAAAGATGAATTTGCCGGCACGGACCTGCAGTGCGATATTGCCTTTGAGCCCACGGATATCTACAAGCTGTGGAACGACAGCCGCGAGGAGCATGTCGAGGGTCGCCAGGAGGATGCTGAGGAGTTTTTGGGTTATGTTTTGAATAAACTCAACGATGAGATGTTGGAGGTAAGCTTTAGATACATATTCTATTAGATGCAATGATTAATAAGGTTGCTCGTATCTGTTTTTAGGTAATAAAACTGATTGCCAAGCCCGTACCTCAGCAGAATGGCCAAGAGCAGCCGGAGCCTGAAGATGGTGGTGAGGTCTGGCAGGTAAGTGAATGCCACATAAAGGGAATTCCTTCATTTAATTGAAATCTCTCTCTAGATGATCTGCAACAATCGCAACAAGGGCAGTGTCACACGCCAAACAGATTTTGGACGCACTCCCATCAGCGACATATTTCGCGGAGAATTGCGCTCCCGTTTGCAGCGTGAGGGAGAGCACTCCACGGATGTGATTCAGCCATTCTTTACTCTCCAATTGAACATTGAAGTGAGTAGCACCGTGGGAGGTACAACTCTAACTAACGAATTACTTACCCTTAAACTCTGTTTTGCTTAATCACAGAAAGCCGCTTCTGTCAAGGAGGCCCTTGAGATCCTGGTGGGTCGTGATCAATTAGAGGGCGTCACTGGCAGCAAGACCAAACAGGAGGTGGTGGCCTGGCAGCAAATGACCCTAGAGAAGCTGCCAGTTGTACTGATATTGCATTTAAAGTACTTTGATTACCGATCCGATGGCTGCACAAAGATCCTAAAGAAAGTCGAGTTCCCCGCCGAACTGAAGATCGATGCCAGTGAGTGCCAGTCAGCCTCTTATTCCATATCTGTATATTAATCCACTTTCTTGCAGAGATACTTGGCTCAAAGAAGACCTCCCAGAAGCAGCGTGCCTACCGCTTGTTCGCTGTGGTCTATCACGACGGTAAGGAGGCCTCCAAGGGGCACTACATTACGGATGTGTTCCACACGGGGTACAACAATTGGTTGCGCTATGACGACAGCTCGGTGAAACCGATTAGCGAGAAGCAAGTGCTGCAGCCGCATACGCCGCGGGTGCCTTATCTACTCTACTATCGTCGATCCGATACCATACAGCATGCCACACAGCCGCATCAGCAGCAGGCAAATGGAGGAGCTGCATCGGGAGGCGTTGTGGGAGGATCAACATCCAATTCGGACGCCAATAAGTGAAAGAAAAATTGTAACATATATCAGATATACAGATAACTATAAGTGCTAGGCGATATTGAGTGAGCGAGAGTGAGAGAGAGAGCGAGCGAGCGAGCGAGTGAGTGAAAGAATTTGGTTTTTAGATGCATATACATATACAAACAACATTAGCGATTAAGATATATATTCAAGTGGTATATTAAGCCAAAAGTCCAAAGCGCATGTGTGCGAGAAGAGAAGAGTGTGAGTGAAGCAAGGAACCATAGCTCTAAGCTTAGGATTTAGCGATTAAGATGACACGTTGAAACGAATTCGTTGTACAAAGAGTAGCTAGAGAGTGGCAGGAGAGATCGTTGTACAAACAGTAGCAAGAGAAAGCAAGAAAATTCGTAGCAGGAGTTCCAGAGAACGAACTCCTCTACAAAGAGTAGCGAGAGAGAAACGAACACTCAGTAAACTGAACAGCGAGAGAAAAAATATCATCTATAACTTAGTGCTAAAGAAAAAAAACTAGTTCCACCCCACTTTACCCATTTTCTTTAACCATTTCTCCATGGCACAAAATACTAATATAGCCATTATCGTTAGTCAGTGTATAGCCCCCTAACCTCCCCCTAGAATTCTTCGATATATGACAAAACATTTAGTGCTGTAAATAGTATACAAAATAACTATATATTGTACTGCAGTTGTATCGTGTGTGGCATGCAGCATGTGCATTTAGACGCCCAAAAATATATGGAATGCTTTGAATATGCTTTAAAAAGAATATATAGAAACCAGAAGACTCTCTTTCGATTGGGAGCAACAACCAGATCATAGAACCTACAACAAAAAACAAACACGTTCATCTTGTAATTTATTATTTTATGTTGTTTAGTTTTACTTAGGAATCCGCTTAAGGACAGGCATATATGATATATTATATCCATATATTATATATATTACACAAATTGTTATTCATAGTTAGTCAAACGTCCAACGCGACAGATGGGTAATACATAATACAGATTTTTGGATTCGTTGTGTTTGCGCCTTTATGATATTCGAAAACCACATTTATCGTAGGTCTAGGGTCGCATATATGTATAGCATATAATATAGGTTTATATAACATCTTAGAGAATTTTTTTGTGGGGATTGAAAGTTGAGATAATCTGAACTAAAAAAAGAAAACACTAACCAATCATTTACATATATTTTTTCATAGGCTATATAACACCATATATATTATTTATAGATATCGTGCCAATGTTTAAAAAAAAAAAAATCTTAAAAAAAAAGAAACAAATTTTGTAAAACTTGTCAAAGCTTTGTATAGTCATTCGGCTAAACGATAAGTGAGAATATAAAGATTATTACTCGATATAAAGACCATCATCATCGATATATGTGCTGATACCAGACAAGTGCTGACATTCAAATGGATATATGATCCATTCATGGAACCATTTGAATGTCAGGACTTTTGAAATATAATACAATATATTCTTAAGATAGAAGATGCATTGACACACCCACACACACACACATACACAGATATGACATACAGATAACCAATACAGTTCGATATATATTTTGATGTTATTCACACAGACACACACAAACACAAACACACATATGAATTATTTGTAAGCCCAAAATTATAGGAAAGCATTTTTTTGATAGAAACTTGTACGCGTCATCTAAGCGTTCTGCTAGTTAAAAAATAGGTTCCTAAAATTATACGAGAAAAATACCAGATAAAAACCACAAAAAAAAAATAACACAAAACATAAGGAAAAATGTTAGAATCGTAAATGGAAAAGCGATAAGCGAAACAATAATAACAATTAATAATATAATGGATAAAATGTAGTCTAAAGCCAAGCTAAAAAAAAAACCATCAACAATTAACAACAACAACAAAACAAATAACATTATAATACATTTAATTATAAATACAATTTATACAAGAAAAAAGAAAGAATACCAACCAAGCGAGAAAATTGGTGGCAAAAGACCTGAAAATGTATCAGAATAATGTTTATACTATATAAATAATGTATGTATATTTTTGCAAGCGAAATTATAATGTCAAACATATAAACGAAACAAAAAAGGAAGGAAAGGAAGGACCTGTAGGATACGTAAACATTTTCGCATATATATAAATATCAATTTTTTTAAACTATTTTTGTTATACATATTACTTATGGAATACTCCAAAAAAGAATGTTTTATTGTATTGTTTTTAAACCTAAAGAACTTTTTTTTGTCACTCCTAGCCCCGTGCAATAGTGCGTTTCATAGCAGTAAATCGATTAGATAAAACAGAAGTTTTAGTTTAAAAAATTAAATATCTTTTTGCCTTATTTCAAAGAACGCCTTAATTCAATGATCGCCTCTTATGATATATGTATCTATATTTTCCTGAATCACTAGCTACCGACCTGTGCTTGTGAAACGCACTGTACGTACACACTCTAAATTCCAAAGTTTTGTTGTTTCTGTTCCATTTCTCGTGTTTTTTTTTGTTCGTAATTTTATCGTAGTGTTTGTCCCCATGATTTTATGTACGACTTAGTCCTTAAGTAGTTTCTAAGGCTGTGTAACTAAAAAACTAAAAACTAAAAAATGTAATAACAGAAAACAAGAACACAAACCTATGGCTTACGGACATATACCCCCTTTTGATTGGTTGTTGTATTTGAGTTTAGCGCCGTACAATTTTTGTTTATTTTGAATATGATTTCTAGGCGGGATAAACAGAAATTGGCAAGTGCACTTACTAAACGTATAATGAAATATAAATGAAGTACATATATAATGAATCGATTGTAAAAGCCTAAGCTCTAAGTACGATACAAACTAATATTACGATTAAAAAATGTTTTGTAAACCATTTTCTAAGGCTTAAAGCAAAGGGCTAGCAAAAGGCTCTAAAGCAATTGCCAGTAAAGCAAATTAAAGTGTAAAAGAACACACACGAAATCAAAGTAAAGCAAAGCTAAGCAAAATGAAAGCGAAAGCTAAAATAATTAGTCCACATTTTAGTCTAAACAACAAAAATAAAACAAAAAAAAAACATGCAAAGAAAAGGTTCAAGCTAAAGTAAATATACAAACTAAAATCTACAAGAAACTAAAAATGATACACGGAACACACAAATTGTAACATGGATTTGCTATAAAAACAAACAAAACATAAAACAAAAACGTAAACTAAACAAACGAATGAAAATGAAATGAAATGATTATCTAGCAATAAAAATAAACCGAATGATTTCATTTATACAGATCGCTTGAGATCCATCGATTTAGTGTGAAGAGCGAGTGAGGAGGAATGGAATGGCGGGCGCGAGAGAGCTGTTTGCTAATTTATGCTGAAAATGGGTCAACACCTGAATATGCTGCTTCGAAAACCTGTTTGGCAGATGGAGATGCGTGCGCCGATCATCGGGCGTTCCAGAAAGTGAGAGGGAGACATAATCGGTGATTTGAATGTGAGTTTTTGGTGATTTCTTTTCTGACGACATCTCTTTTGACTGTGACTTGTGACTCATTATGAATGCCAAACACAATCGCCGCGACTGTTAAACCCGTTTTGAGCGAGAGAAAAGAAGAGTGGGAGCCTCTTCAATCAGCTGGCAACGAAATGCATTCGTTGCGCTGTTCAAAACATTTACGAACACTCTCCCTGGCAGTGATTGCCTGGAATCCAACACGGAATGTATCGCAATGTGCTCTGCCTGGTGCTGGGCCTGATCATTGGCATACGACTGACGGATCTCTTCGATAACATGCGACTCACGGATGGCCGCGACTATGCCCTCACCCAGGCCCCTGCCACGCCCCAGATTCACAGCGAAACAAAGACTCAAACGGAGACGGACATTGCCGCGTGGCTGTTCAATGAAACGCGAGTGCTGTGCCTCGTGCTGACCATACCCCAGTGGCACAGTAGAAAGGCCGCAAAGGTGAAGAACACATGGGGTGCCCGCTGCAATAAGCTGATATTCCTGAGCAGCGAAGAGGACAAGGAACTGGGGGCCATCGATGTGGGTGTGCCCGAAGATCGCAAAAATCTGTATGCCAAAGTTCGCGCTGGCTTTGAGTACGCGTACAAGCATCATGGAGAGGATTACGATTGGTTTCTCAAGGCAGACGACGATACGTGAGTGCAAGAAACAAAAACTTTGAATCTCTTTTTAACGTCTCTCTCTCTCCCTTTGCAGCTTTGTTATCATGGAGAATCTGCGGTACTTTCTCTATCCCTACGATCCCGAGGCCGCTCTTTATTTTGGGCATAAGTTCCGCACGGATTTCCCCCAGGGCTACATGTCCGGTGGAGCCGGCTATGTGCTGAGTCGCGATGCCCTGCGGCGACTGAATCTCTTTGCGCTGAACAACACCCGCTTCTGTCCAGAGAATAAGCAGGCAGAGGATCGGCAGATTGGCAAGTGCCTGAGGAATGTGGGTGTGGTGGCAGGAGACTCCAGGGATGAGGAGGGACAAGAACGGTTTTTGCCGCTGGCCCCCAAGCATTTGGTGCCACATTTTCCAACCACTGGCTGGTTGAGTAGCATTGTGTTCTATGAACCCGTAAGTTGTGCCATTCCTGCGATGAGAGATCTTTCTTTTTTAAAGGTTTGCTTCTTTTACAGACGGAGACCTGCTGTTCGGACTCGGCCATCAGCTATCACTACGTCAAGGACTTTGAGTTTGAGATCTACGAGTACTTGCTGTATCGCCTGCGCGTCTTTGGCATGCCTTTGCTCCAGCGCCCCATGCCCCGGCGCCTGCCACAGCAGCAGCTGCAAAGACAGCTGGAGTTCTGGTCCAAAGAAAAAACCACAAATCCTAAAAAACCCAAGGGATAAACGAAGGTTGCATCAGGAGTTATGTTTATGTGAGCATTAGCCCCCCTTTGCTGTGGACTTTCTATTAAAGTTTCCTTCATTACAGATGGCTTTTAGATGTGGATGAAGCGGGAGAACTCGGACTCAAAACTAGACCTAAATCATAGTTAGAATTTTGTTTAAATTATATGCGCAAGAGCTGTGAAGCAGAAGCTGCACAAAGAAAACTGTGATTCGAATTGAATTGGTCGCGCTTCTAAAACCCCAAACAAAATCTGGGTTCTCCTCTACAGGTGGGGAATGATGACCAGAAATCGTTGGAACACCATAAAACACAGTTATTTGTGGTGTGAGTACTGGAAACTTTTCAGCGTGAATAACATGGAAAAGAGCCGCAGAGGAGCCTGCATTTGGCAGCCTGAATGCCACCTAAAAGCCGAGAAACAAGACATTGGATGTGCCAAACAAGATTAATGTGAAATTATCACTCGATCGTTTTGACATTTATCCTTTTGATATCATATTCTTGCTTTACAGAGGACCGCGATGGCTGCTCAAGCTCTGCCATTTCTGTACTCAAGAGAGTCCTTGCTGTGGCATCGCTCCGTCTGGATATAGAGGAGCAGCATAGAAATCAACTGAGTCTCAGAACACAGAGAGACCAGTAGCTCACCTATCCATAAAACTACCGAAGAAACGCCACCGCAAACCACGTCCAAGGATCCTGCCCTACCTTATTTTAGTCCAGTATAATTTTCTATAAGCTGTTCCATTAAGCTGTCAAATAAATGTATTCCAACTTAAGAAACTTAAGCGGATCCCAACCACTGTGGCAATGTGGCACTGTGCAACCGTGAGTGAATGCATTTGCTGCGCCTATTAAATGTTAAGCCCTGGAAAACGATCTCCAATTGTGGATCCAGTCAGTATTCAATCTATCGCACAATGATTCGCAATGCCTTGGGGCTGGTGCTCGGTCTGATCTTGGGCATTCGCCTCACCGAATACTGGGACTTAAGCCACATGAGATCCAACACAAATATGGTAATCCCCCAGTCCCAGAACAAGGCCTGGCTCTTCAATGAGACTCGCGTGCTGTGCCTTGTGCTGGCGAATCCCCTGTATATTACGAGTATGAAGGCCAAAGTGAGGTCCACGTGGGGCAAGCGATGCAACAAGTTGATATTCATGAGAAGCCGGATGCGGAAAAATTTCAATGGAAGCACATTTGCCGGAGTTAAAGCTTCTTTGCGATCCATCTACAGGCATCACTTCGAGGGCTACGACTGGTTCCTCAAAGCAGATGCCAATACGTGAGTGACAGAGTCACTGCGAAGCGAATTACCTTTCTTTGGGTTTGACTCTCCCTCCTGCCTTTCAGCTATGTGATTATGGGGAACTTGAGACGTTTTCTCTATCGCTATGATCCAGAATCTTCGCTTGTCTTTGGTCACCGTCAGAGATCGGACTTCCGGGAGGGATATATGCATGGGTCAGCGGGCTATGTCTTGAGTCGCGGTGCCATGCGCCGCTTGAATCTGTTTGCTTTTAATGGCAGCAATATTTGTGATCCCAAAAATCACTCGTTCAGCGCATTGGAGGACAGCAAGAAATCCTTCGCTGCATTGGACGGTAGGAATAACTCCATGGCATTGGAGGACACGCATCTCTCTTCGTCAGCTGAAGACAGAGCCATGGGTCTGTGCCTGAAGCATGTCGGTGTGATTCCTGGCGAATCCCGCGATGGCCTGAACCAAGAGCGCTTCCTGCCCCTCATGCCACGATGGCTAATGCCTGGAAATGCCACATTGAAGCCCTACACGGACACCATCTACTTCAAACCAACGGTGATAGGAAAGTAAAACACCCAAAGATCACTGAGGAATAATTCTTTCTTCGTTTCTTCTATAAGACCGCAAATTGCTGTTCCGATACATTGATTAGCCTACATTCAGTGAATGGTGTGGACTTTGACCTTCTGGAGTTCTTTCTCTACAAAGTGAGGGTCTTTGGCGACCACAAGCCGCTGCCTAAGTTGCCGCCACGCCTGGGCTTCAGGGAAATGCATTCCCTGCTGCGCTATTGGTCCCAGGTGGTGTCCAATAACCTGGAGAAGCCAGGAGCTTAATGTAATTGCTACACTTTGTGATAAATAAACCAAGACGCAGCGACGATGAAGATTTATGCCCATCAATAAGGCCAAAACAATTGTTGTCTTTGGCTCCAACATCTCTCCTGCAGCCTCCTTGGGGGAGTGGGGGCTGTCCTGTCTGCTGGCATTGCTTTGGCCATTTGTCAGGGTGGCTGCCCCTTCGCTTTAAAGCACAATTTATCAAAAAGGGCCGCGTGCCACATACTCCCTGCCCATCTCGTTCATCTCCTCCTCCTCGTGCTCACCTTTTGTTGGATAAGCAGGGAGGAAAATCGAGCAGGAATCGAGAACCGGAAAATCGAGTGAAACGTGCCAAACACGTGAAAAATACCTGGGGATCATTGCATTGTTATTTATGAGGCTAGAAATGAACTGCGCGGGGAGGAGGAGGAACAGGACTCGAGGCATGCGGCACGCGAGTGCCTTAACTGCTCGGATAAAGGATAAACTCGTTTTCTTTTTTTGGCAAAGCAGCGCAGCTGTTTATGTACCGCTATCTAGAGCTATCCAGAGGGTAGAACCGTGGAACGTGCCGTCGGTCGCTGAACCCCCTGGGTGCGCCTGCGCAGCGCCCTGCCTCGCCCTCCTTTCATCGTTAATATGCACATAATTCTACATTTACATTTGAACAAATATTAGTCGAAAGGGAGCTTTTTCCCTATACGCAGATCCCTTATTCCTATTCCGTGTACCCATTCCTGTGTTACATGTAAATGAGGTTGCCACATACACGTGTGCCGTGCCGCCTGGCCAACAGGCCATGAACAGGCTCCTCGCTCCTGGCTCTTGTTCCCCGCTGTCTGACAGATTTCTGGGTGGAACTGCTATCAGTGCCGTTGCGATAAAGGTTCGGCCACGCAGCAGCAGCTGCTGACTTTTCCATAAATTTAGGGGAGTAGGATGTAGGGAGTAGGGAGTAGGAAATAGGGAGTGCCTTTTGTTAACACAACGGGACAGAAACCGGATATTTTCTGTGTAATCCATCGATGCATTCTATGATTTCAAAAATTCCCCCTGCTATGTGGTTTAATTCTACATTCTACACTACACTCTACTCGATTTGATTTAATTTAAATACATGACGCCGCACCAACCCCCGCACTTTATACCGCTCTCACTCACACCTGTACCATATAGTGGTCCATAAACATTCGCCTTGCCTTTGTGCACTGGGAGAGGGCGGAGTAGAGGAGCAGAAAACTTTGTGACTGTGGAGAAGATGAGCGAAGAAGTTGAAGTAGCGTGCACTTAGCAAGAGTAGCAGAAGAGAGCGTGGGAGAGAGAGCAATTACGAAGACGAGCAGAAGGAGAGCAAGTCAAGCCACTCACGCATCTCTATCGCTCTCCCAGCTTCCATAGTTCCCCCGCTCTTCATTCCAAGCGTTCATTTGCAAGTCAGCACCGCATTGTTTTGCTTTTTCGGGCCGTGAAGAGCGCGGAAAATGCAGAAGTGCAGTGATTTCTAATAAACAAATAATCCCAAAGTCGCGTAATAAAGTGCGTGGGCGGAACATGTGATAAATGGCATAAAAGAGGCTGATGGTGGAGAGTAATTTGTGTTAAAATGTGCACAGACAGTGCATCAAGTGAAAATATATATTTGATACAGATTTCATGCATTTATTTGTTTGTTTTTGTTTCTTGTGCTATAATCAAGCAGCCAAAATGCCAACGGTTCCGTTATGTGTCTCGTGTTTTCGTTTGCCCGTTCCACCAGTGTGTGTGCGTGTGTGAAAGAATAGCAAAAGTAGAAGAGCGAAAAGGAATGAGCGAGCGCTGTTTATCTTCCCCGCTCTCCATTCAAGTGTCACTGAGTGTGTAAGGTGAGGCATTTTCAACATCTTGGACGTAATGATCTCTCTCTCGTTCACATATTCGAGCATACTATGCGAGTATGCGTGGGAGTGAGCCCTCTGGTACCTCACCTCATATTTAATGCACTCCAAATGCGTGCTCTTATTGGAATTGCTCTCATTCCAGTGGGCAAAAAATGAGCGAACGAAAATGCTTCAACACTCAGAATTGCTCCATGCAATAAAACTCTCCTCCCTTTTGTAGATCTTGCCTAAAATCTTTCTAACCACCGTCTGACACACCTTCTTCCGTTCCAAAGGCACAACATTGATTCATTCCTGTCCATTAAGCTCTCGAAGTTCATCCCCCATTAACTACTCAACTGCTGCATCATTGGCTTCTCAAATGCTTCATTGCCTTCGTGCTGGGCATCTAAATGCCTCACCCATCTAATTAGTTGCATTCCTCAGCTTCGACTTCGACTTCAACTCAATCCTCCTCAAACCTGCCACGCCTTCCACTAAAAACACAAACCTAAAAGAGAAACAGAAGGAGGGAGAGACAGAGAGGACTTCCCTGGGCGACATGATGTCTGGCAGGGAACAGTTTACACACATTTCAACGACGATGTCTTGTAATCAATTTAATGGCTTCTTCCCCCTGAGAAAAAAGAGCGAACGAATACGAAGAGGTTTCCCCTCGATAGAGGCTTCCCCCAAAGACGGTGACGGTGACGGTAACGGAGGAGGAGTGTAAGAAGTCAGAGTCCCAGCGGAAGGAGGGGAGAGGCGTTTCAATTTGTATCCCTAAAGTGAAACCTACAATTGGCACCACTTTGCCAGCCAAAGGAATTGCCTCTTTTATGGTCTCATTTTCTGGTTTTCTTTCCCCTTCTTGCCGCAAACTCAATTAAGTGACGAACGAATGAATGAATGAATGAATGAATGGAGGGTTCCCTAAAAGGACAAGGCGCCTCCTACGAGGGTCCTGCCAGGCATGTAAATGCCAGCAGACACACACACAAAAGGAGAGAGGGATGGGAATGGATGACTCAACAATGTCTTGAACGTGTTGCTTTGCTTTCCTTCCTTCCGGCAAAGGAATGCTGCCGCGCGCTGCCTCTTTCAAGGAATGCCACACACAACCCTCAAGGAAACTATCAACCAAAAGCAACCCCTAAAAAAATGCACTGACTTCTTGGCGGCAGCGAGGGTTCTGTTCTGTTCTGTCTTCTGCTTACCTTCCTTCTTGCAGGGTTTGAGGTTCTCGCCTTGGTCCTTTGTCTTGTGAGGGTTTCCCCCTCGCGTTGCGGCTCTGACGCGTGCCACAAAACGGGGAAGGCCAAGGCTCGGGACATACCTGTAGCTGGGAGGATGGGTGCCGTTTGCACTGTTCTCTGACTCATTGGCCGTGTCATGAGGCAGGAAGTGCACGTACAAAAATTATTGAAAATTATAGTTGGTAGTGGAAAACTTAAAATACAACCAAAAGAAACCCCAACAGTACGAAGGACACGTGCAGGACATTCGTATGCAAAAAAAAAAAAGGAGAGGAAGTGGCAGCCAAGCGTTAAATTGAAGCCTGTGCCAAATCAATTAAAAATACAACAAAAAAATACTCGCCGTATTTTCGTGCCCCAAGCTTGTTTTTTTTTGTGTGAGTGTGTGGCAGTTGCATGGCAACATTCTGTTGCAAGGATGGGGGTTTTTCACAGTGGTTTTTCCGGCCAGCCAGCAGCAGCAGAAGCAGCATGGCAATTGGAATGCTGATGCAGTCCTGCAGCTGCCTCTGCCCCTGCCCCCAGCCCCAGCCACTGCCACTGCCGCGGCGAATGCTCTTTGCGAATGTGCCGCATAAAAATCACAAAAATCAAAAAATACCTTTACACATGATTTATCCCTGAAGCATCGAAGCACCGAAGCAGCGGGTATGGTATCGTATGGTGTCCTTCACCCTGTCTGCCTGTCTGCGTGTGTGTGAGAGTGTGGCAGCTGCAACCCAACCCAACCTCCCTTTTGCCCATTCCCCCCCACCCCTGTCGATCGCCCCTCTGGCCCAACACAGAGACACAGAATGCTTATGCTACGTTCGCCCTAAACCCAATCGAAGCTAACAAACAACCCCTCAGGACTCAGGACTCTCAGGACTCTGGTCCAAAACCCAAAAATCAACATTTGTGCCCTCCCTTTTCCCGCTCCTCATTCTACTCCCTTTTTAATGGGGTGGTGGCTGCATCCCCTCTGCATTCCCTGCATCCCTGTCCAAAGTTCCAATTTTCCAGACTCTTTCTGTAGTTTAGAAATTTTTGGAAATTATCTAGCAAATCTCTTTTTGGTTTCGTGCTCAATTGGAATATATTTGTTTGTTTCCTTTGTTTTGCAGCCAGCAGCAGCAGCCAGCAACGGGAGGGAGGCGGAGGTGTATCCTAATTATGTGCCTGTGTTTCCATGGGCATGCCATGTACCAAAACGAACCAGGAGAAGTCTCTTCGACTGGAACTAATGTGTGTGTGTGTGTGTGTGTGTGGAACGGATATTGCGATCGAGTGAAAGGTACTGCAGAGTAACTAATTTACAACAAAAACAGACATCTGTCGTTTCTAATGAGTGCCTCTCTCTCTCTCTGTACACTTTCTTCGCTCAGGAATCGTGCAGGAAACATGCACTTGTTTCTAATGGGAAATATCTGTCATTTACATGCATCAGTTCTCCATCAGAATTCCATGAGAATTCACCTGAAAATGCAATTGTTCGAATGGATAATAAACATAATTAACCACACCAGAGAATGCCGTCCAGAATGTGTTCCATGTACAATTTCCCAGAGCATACCAGGGTACGGCAAAATGCTCTTTCAGGTGAGTTTTTCTTTGATTTGTTGACTGTGTTTTGCACTCCTTTTTGATTGTGGTTTTGAGTGGTATTTCGTTGGCTTTTCTGCTGCTGTCCCGACCATATACTAAATCCATATTTAGCCGTGAAACAATCATGACTAAGGCTCATAAATAGACCTACCTTTATCTTGGCACACACACTACCTGTTTCTATTGCCACGTCTCACTATGTAAAGCGTCGGATGTTTACTGTTTGTGTACTGGAGAGTCTCTGATAAGAGGCTTCCACAGAAGCAGCGCCAGATAAGCGCTGCAGATCTCTGGGTATAAAAGCAGCTGGCCCGGAAAGCATCCATTTAGTCACAGTCACAGCTACAACAGAATGCAGTTTACTAATTGGACATTTGTAGGACTCTGCTGCCTGGTGGCAGGCACCACCTACGCCGTACAACTGGCACCCATTCGAGCTGCTGCTGCTGCTGCGCCTAGGCCTGTGGCACCGCCCAACACTTTGGCACTCGAGCTAAGGAGCATCTTCAGGCAGATACCCAGGAAGCAGATCGAGAGGCTCGTGCAGGCGTATCTGCTCAACGATGAGGAGTTCCAGGGTGTCATCAGGGACATCAATTCCCTGCAGGCCTATCGCCTGAGCAGACAGTTGCTGGTGCAGCCCGAGGTGCGGCAACTGCTGCAGTGGCTCTCCCAGCAGCTGATACTGTCGGGCAGTTCCCTGAAGATCTTCGATGACCTCGAACTGGAGATCAAGGTGATCAATAAGTATCCCACAGGCCGCGCAATCGGTGAACGGAATCCGCGGCTTTGAGCTGGAATTCTATCAGATTTATCCGCTGGAGCTCATCCGTTCGCTGCTCGAGCCGAGTGCCACGCAGTCGAGTGCCGCTCTGACGGAGCTCTGGCGGCGTCTGGTGGCCGTGCTGCCTGCCTACGAACGTGTGATTGGCTCTCCACAGGCCAAGCTATTTATCCAGAAGCTACAGACACGCGGCGTGGCGGTGCAGGATGTGGATGCCCTTGTGCGCTATCAGTTTGGCTGGAGCAATGTCACCTTGGGTGGAGGAGCCTATCCCAGCTACGATTATAAGCGATTACTTGGCGCCAGCTTCGTACTACTAAGCAAAAATCCTGCCTGCGCTCCAGCCACCCAAGACCACCATTGTTCTGGCCTTAAAGTCTGTGTATTATATATTCCTGCAGTCCTGTATTATATTATTTTATTCCCAACTATGTATTGGATCCAAAGCTCTATCGAATTAAATATCGAATCTTTAGCCGCATATCATATCAAACCTTCCAGGCAATACAATTCCACATTTACTTTGATGTATGTGAACTGGAGAAATACCAGCGCAAATTCAAGTGCCACGCAGCACAGCCAGCCAGTCGCCTTTTGCGAGCCATCTGTGCCATCGAATGGCAATAAATATCAGTGCCTGCTCAAAGGTCGCGGACAGGGAGCGCGCACCCTCGCTGCCCTGCCAAAGGTATCCATGGCAATGCCATGATTAAGTAACAGATGAGCCATGGCCGTGTGCCCTGCCCTGCTCTGTCCTGCTCTGCTCTGCTCTGTCCTGTCCTGTGTTCCGTGGGTCGCAGCACATGCGATTTAATTGAAACAAACCAAACAGGAAACGGCGCTATATACAGAGAAGACATTGGCCAGGGGGAGCAGTGGCAGTGCTCCGTCGAATGGGGTTGCTTTTGTAATGAAGTTCCTCATTAAGCGGCGACGGGTGGAGAGAAACGCTGAAATCGGAATTGCAGCGGAAACTAGTTAATGCTTCTGTGAGGCCCATTGTCAAAAGCAGAAGCGCAAGTCGTGCAATTTTCACACAGCAGCAGCAGCAGCGGCAGCAGCGGCATTAAAGGGGAATCCTGTGCACAGGATTTTGGCAAACGAAGGGAGAATATTTTCGCCCCTTAATTTTTTTTTTTTGCTTTCTGGCCTCGCTTTTTGCGGTGAACGCGTCCAATTGGAATTTTATACGAGTATATCGCGCATAGTCCGCCCGATAAGGGGGTAAAAATGTAATATTTTATATACGCCCTGGCTCCTGCTCCTGCTCCTGGCACCGAACCCTCCCTATGGACATTCAATGCACTGTGACTGACATGCGGCGGATATGCGAGTGCGAGTACGAGTACGAGGCTTAGAACGGCGTGGAGCGGAGCGGAGCAAAGTTCTCCTCCTGCAAGCGGCATATACGGCCGTGTGGTGCAGTGCCACCCCTAAGGAGTAGAGTGACGAGCGAGTATTTCATTTAAAAAAAAAAAAATAAAAACCCCCCCTCTATTGAAATCAGCAACAGCCTTAGAGACCTCAGAACTTAGAACCGAACGCAGTGCAGGACAGAAATCGCGCTACGCTTGAGCTCTGATATTATGGCCACTAGATACAGTGGTAACTGGCTACCGTAGAAGATAAGTTTATAAAGAAAAAACCATTTGGAAAGTAGAAACATTTTCTGATTGAGTTTTAGGTGGAAAATTCTTCATTTCTTATAGGGAAGTAGTCCGCTGCCGTGACACGTCGCTGTAACGAAAAGAATGAGAGCCCAAGTGGGCTATTCATCGATCACTATTCATTGGAATGCATCACAATAGCAGAAAGTGAAGGTGATTTTTATTTGGGCTTCCACTCAAACTGGGAAATCAATCAAATCTAACGAAGAGATTGAGAGCGCCGTAAGCCTGTTCTTTCTCTGAATATCGTTTCCCATATCGAAGTTCCGTAGGTACATTCTGCATCTAGTAATTTCCAAAACTGCCATTGCTTGTAGTCAGGCCTCACTGTTTCTGTGCCCCTTATGCACCCTTCGATTGGTGTTGCTGCCTCTGCTGCTGCCAGCACTCGTATGTGGTGGCTCGTGTGTTCTGTTGGGTTTTTGGTGTTTGAAAATGCACCTGGCTGAATTTTCAGCTTCGATTGCGCTGCGGCCGGGCCACGATTTCCATTGCTGTGCCCAGAGATTCGGTTGGTGGTTGGTTGGTTGGTTGGTACGTTGCATTGTGATTTCCATGCCGCACATGCCGCTGTATGAGGCAGGCAGGGTCGGGTCTGTGCCTGTGCCTGTTCCTGTGCCACGGAGCGGCAAGGACATTAGCAGGCGCAACAACAAATGAGCGTTGGTCGCTGGTCGCGTGCCCGAAGCACTTCGACACCCGACAGAATTGTGAATTGTGATTGTTTTTTTTTTTTTGTATTTTGTATTTTGTGTGCCCGTTACTATATATTTTATTTCTTTGCTGCTCTTGCCTTTGCTCTCGTGACTCGGTCCTGCCTCCTGTCCTCGCTCTTCCTGCCTCCTTTGCCTTTTCCTTTCGCTTTTGGGCTGCATGATGTGTGAGTGATTTTTATGCCCCTGCGGCGCTGCATGCTGCATAATTTCGCCTCGACTCGTGTGGAATACATCTATAATTATGTCTCCCCCCCAGAATTCATCTAATTTCGCCCCCCCCCCATACTTTTGCTGATTTTTCGGGTATTATTTTGTTTACTTTCGGGGCTTTCCTTAAGCTTTACGGGGATTTTCCTGCTGCAATCAAATTTCTAGAAGAATTGAATAATTTGTGGCAGTCTGTGGTGGGATTGGGGGCAGTCCTTAATCCTTTCCTTATGGCAGGAATTCGCCCGAATCCCAATTAAAATATAATTCACGCCCTTGGAAATCCAGAAATACAGAAATCACAGCCAGAAATTGCATGAAATTATGAAAGCGAAAAATTTAATTACAGCTCAGTGGCTGATGCTGTGCGGCAGAGATGCCTTGGGGCGCTGTAACCCCCAAAAAGGCAGCCAAACCGACGAGCAGCAACCCTTCGACAATGGGGCATGGGCACAAGGCAACATGTGCCACAAGTTGAGTGCATCCTCTCGAGGAGCTTGCCCAAGCAGCACACGCGACTCCAAAGAGGCTTTTGAGACGACACACTGAAATGGATGCAACGAATGCATTATGCCGCATAAACGATGCATTTTCGAACATTAATTATTGCCAGAGGAGGAGCCCGAAAGGGGTGGGCTGAGGGGGAGCCTCCTCCAGCGAAGAAGGCTGCAACATGCAACAGACAGACAGTGTCAGGAGTGGGGTTGGGTGCGAGAATGGGAATTGCACTTGAAAATTACCATAAAAAGATGCACTTAAGGGTTTGGCATTGGGGGCGATACAAACAACAAACAACAAACAAAATGCGTAGCTAAAGAGCAGCAGGAGGGCAGCAACAGGAGTTTGGGGGGCATCATCTGCGCCCTCTCCATGGGTTGTCCGGGGTTGTCGTTGGTGTTTTTGAGTGCAAATTTGTGCCAAGTACGCCTTGGAGCGCAGAAATCAGAGCAATCAGCCGGCAGATTATCAGAGTACACAAAGAGAAATTGGGCAGCAACATTTTTGATTGGGACGCATATTTTTGTATATTAATTTGTGGCTTAGAATTGGGGAGGGCATCAGACTGGTAAACTGTGAAAATAAATTCAAAATTGTTAGTTTTCTTTCAAATGCATTTAAATATCTTCAAAGGTGCTTCCTTTTTGCACTTCTGGAAGACTGGAAGAACAAAAGCAGGTCACATTAGGCCAAATCTGCCGAATAAAGTGGTAGTTCTATGATATATAGAATAAAGAATATATATATAAAGGCACGTGCACGGCATCGCATCACTTAATGACTTCACACCGCCTAGAATAGTATTCCTTCATTAACGATTTGTAGGGGAAAGTCGCCTATGGCAAGAGCACCCGGAGTTGTCTTAATATGAGACTCTTCTTCTGTCAATTTGTGGATAGAAGGATTCCCCCTCTATAATGATAGAATCCTCTTCTAAAATTCTGCCAAAGAATGGGGAGATCATTCCCAAACAGTACCTTAAGCAGCAGCTCCATTTGGTAAAGCTTTTCTAGAGGAGTCTTGGATCTTCTTGCGATAAATTAAGGATCATTTCCATACAAAATAGTGCCCATCAATTTGTGTAAGTCTCCAACAATAAAGGGATCATTCGCACACACACAGAGAAAGGGAGAGAGAGAGTGAGAGAGATTTATGTGTGTGCAGGACTTTGCCCTAAACCTTATTCAATTTCTGGATAATCTTCTCCCTGTTGATGGACAGACGACACCAGAAGCTGAGGATTAATCACAAATTTCAAATGGTAGAGTTTCCCCCTTTGATTGCTTCATTTTGAGTCTCACTTTTCTCTCACTTTATTGATGACAAAATAAAGAGCAGCAGCAGCAGCGGCTCTAAAGGAGAACTTTCTGGCTTCAGGAGGGTTGCCTGCCATCCGAACATGGGGTTGGAATTTGCAGCGGCGTGTCCTTGCCTCCCAGATCCAAGTATCTTTCGGGGCAGGCAGCACAATGCTCGCGTGGCTGGCGCACTTCTGAGACGAGTCTCGACTTGCCAAGGATTCGGATTGCCTGTTCGCTGTTCGCTGTGGGATCTGGCATCTACGTATGGGCTTTAGCTTTCAACTGAAAAGTTCGGGCAGGGGTTCGCATTCTATTTGTAATTCTAAGCTGCATGGCAAACACACAGCACAACACACAGATTGATTGAGAAGAGGAACAGAACCCCAGAACCAGAACCAGGGCCCAACCCCTGCAGAGTCCTGCTGCGATTGGGATCGCTCTGGGAATACTCTTTGGACACGAGACGCCTCTCCATCTCTCTCTGTGCACTCTCGCTCGCTCTTCGACCCGTTTTGGGGTGGTGGCGCGTTGCCATGTTGCACGTGCCTACCGTAAGAACAATGGCGTCGAATCGTTCGTTCTGTTCTGCAGGAGAGGAGAAATAATATGCCATATTTTGTGTAGAAAGCCCTTAACAGGGGGAATCGAAAGTGCATTCCCTTTCATGGCAACCACTGCCGCTGCCGCTGTTGCTGTTGCTGCCACTGCCACACGACGCGACAACGGCGTCGCATTTCGATTATGTTTAATGGCAAAGCACAGGGGCAGGCATACAGATACACAGGCACACAGATACTACGCACACACACACAGATACACACACACACACACAGCTACACAGCTACACAGACTCGTAGCCGATTGTTTATGCTGAAGTTTTTTTTCTTCGTTTTTTGTTGTTTTGCTTTTTTTGGGTGGTGGTGAACTTTCCAGTAAAGAAAACCAAACCAAAGTTGCGCTGCGTTGTGTCTGTTGTTGTATGCCACACGCCGCACGGGTGTACCTACCCCACCAAAAGCAAACTTGACAACGAGCTTAGCCGTCGCCTTAGCCGCCACCATTTGTGGCCAGAGGCGAGAGAGAGGCGCGCTAGAGAGAGAGAGAGAGCCACACACAAAAAACCTGATAGATAGATGCAGCTACACGCAGAGAAATCGGATGACTTCTGCGGAAATTATGAATGGAGAGTTGCAAACCTGAAGAAGAAGACCCATAAAAAAACCAGATAAATCCACTAGAAATTCGTACACTCGCAGAAATTGCATGCCTTTTACACTTGAAGAAATTCGATGAATGCAAATAAATGCCTTGTAACCTTTAACCTTTAACAAAGACTAATGCAAATTGTTACCTTTAACCTTTAGATAGGATACCTTTTTGGCACTTGGATCGCATTGATTTCGACCTTCTAAGTAATTCCTTGCCACAACAGCTGTTTTTACACTCAGCAAGCAGGCAAACAAAGCAAAGGAAGGAAGGATCCGCACAAGAGGATTTGGTTTTCATTTGGTTGCACGCTCAAAACGATCGAAATTTCAATCGGTTGCACGCACAATCAACAGTGGTCCGGGGGTGCAGGGCTGGGCAGGGCAGGGCGGCGTCAGCTGTTTTTCTGCAAGACAAGGAAAAGGTCAAAGATATTTGGATTGTTTTGTGCGATCGAATTTCCCTTGGCAAACACCAAAGGAAGGTGCCATTATTATCCTTTGAATGCCATTTTCATGGTGCGTGGCAAAGAGAAAACAAAACAGCTGCTGCCACATGCCACATGCCACATGCAGCATATGCAGCATATGCAGCATTTGCATGGCATTGATTTCTGCGAGTGCATTGTTCTTTTATAAGGGGAAGGAAAGGAGCAAGGATAATAGTGCAGAGTGCAGTGCATGGAGGATCCCAATCCAGGGTACATTATATGTAGGGTGAGGCTGTGCTGCTGCCTGCCTGCCTTTTGGGGCAAAGCTTGCCCTGAAGTGTAGCCTGGGGGCCTTACCTTTACATTTGTTCAATGTAGCTTCCGGCCAAAGGACTTTCACTGCCGTCAGGACTTTCCCCTTAGCAGTGGATCTGTGGAAAAAAAAGGGTGACTAATGCGTCCATGTCTGTGTGCCTGCGTGTGTGTGCCTGTGTCTGTGTGTGTGCCTGTGTGTGTGTGTGTGTGTGCGAGTGATTGCTAACAAAAGATTCCGGCTTTTGCGGCTGCCGGCAAAGGTCTCGTCCCGGTCGCTCTGCTAGCGCCGCTGCCAGCCAAGGACCTCTGCTCTGCTCTGCTCTGCACTGCGAGGGCTAAAAAGGACAACGAACGTGGCGTGGCGTGGCGTCGCGTCGCGTCGGGGCGACTGTTGGGGGATGAAAGAGCGCTGCGCTGCGTTGCGTTGCGACGCCCTGCCGGCCGGCCGGAATGATTTCCCTTTCGGTTTTCGCTTTCCTTTGACATAAATAGCCGTGCCGGGGCACCGCTCTCATTCATTCGCAGCAGAGACGTTGAGCGGAACACGACGACGAGCAAGGGAGAACAGGAGATCGACCGTTCTTCGCCCCAAAAGGAGCCTTGCCTCAGCCTCAGTTTTGCGCCTCAGTTCTTGTTCATCTGTTGTTAAGTTTCCTTTCCGTTTGTTTTTCGCTTCATTCTCAACAGTTTTCCCGTTCAATCGTTCATCAATCAATACCCGTTCAATTGTTCAATCGTTCATCAATCATACCCGTTCAATCATTCATCGTTCACTACGTTCAATCCACGTTACGTTACGTTACGTTACGTTTACGTTTACGTTTACGTTTTTAAAGGTGAAGCAACGCGTTGAAGTTTTTTGTTGCTGCCAACATTTCGCGGCAGTGCAATGGCCACACAAACACAGACTCAGCTGCAGACGCTGCAGCAGACACAGACACAGACATCGACACTGTGCCACCCGCACAGCATTGGCATCCAGCTGCAGCACAAGGGCATGCCCCATGGCCTGGGCCTGCTTACCACAGTGGCCTCGCTGCCGCCCAAGTACCGCAGTCGGTATCTGAATCTGAAAAGCAAGTGTGAAATTCCGCTGGATCTCTCGGTGAAGCCACCAACACCCACAATGGAGCTGCACGAGGAGGAGCAGGAGCTGCAGGAGCTGCAGGAGCTGCAGCATCCAATTAGCGATGCGATGGATGTGCCAATGGCCACCGCATTCGCTGAGGTATACAGCAGCGAAGCTGTGGTGCAGCAGCAGGAAGAGCAGCAGCAGCAGCAGCAGGAAGAGCAACAGCACACCATCACCCCACCGCAGAGTCCTGAACCGAGGCTGAAGCGTAAATTGAGCGCCACCGATGACGATAACGATGATGATGATGATGTCCAGCATGCTGCCAAGCTGCCCAAAACCCAAAAGGAGAAGGAAGAGCAGCTGGAGCTGCCCTCAACCAGCAGGGCGGCAGCCGCTGCGACCCTTGTGGAGGCCACACCTGCCAAACCCATTAAAGTCTGTGAACCGCCCAGGACCAGCAAGGCGGCGACCTCGGGCAAGTCCTCGTCGCGGAATAAGGCCACGCGCAAGCTGAAATTCGACGAGGAGACAAGCTCGCCCGTCTCGGGCACAGTCATACGGCCCCTGGAGGACATCACCGATGGCACGATGCAGTACAGCAACGGGGACATCGATCCCAAGTACAACATTGTGGAGATCACCGAGGAGACGAAGGCGGAGCTGGCGGCCATCAAGAATGTCATTGGGGACTATGTCTGCCGGTTGTGTCGCATCAGGTTCGAGGATGCCTTCGGTCTGGCGCGGCATCGGTGTGCGTGCATTGTGCTGCTGGAGTACCGCTGCCCCGAGTGTGGCAAGCAGTTCAATTGCCCCGCGAATCTGGCCTCACATCGCCGGTGGCACAAGCCCAAGAAGGAGGCGGCGGGCGTGAAAAAGGAGAACCAGCAGCCGGCAGCAGCAGCAGCAGCGAAGGCTGGAGGCGGTGGTGGTGCCAACAAGAAGGCTGCTGCTGGGGCTGAGGAGGCTGCCACTGGCGGTGGCTTTGATTGCTCCGATTGTGGCAAGAAGTTCAAGCGGGCGGCGTACCTCAGGAAGCATCAGCTGACGCACGCCAAGAAGGGAGCAGCCACCCAGGAGCAATCCAAGGAGTTGCCACAGACAACCATCAGGGCGGTGTTCAAGGCCACGCCATACAGTGGAGGCGCCTCCACGTCCTCGTCATCATCCTCCTCTGCCAGCAGCATGCACTCGCAGTCCACGCACGAGGACGAGGGCGTGTACGTTGTGGCAACGACCAGCACCAGCACCAACGCCACCTCAGCCACAAGGAGCAGCAGCAGCAGCCACTACGAAGGCGACTACGAGGCCGACTACCTGTCCGACAGCAGCTCCTCGGCCTCCTCGACGGGCTATGGCCGCCTGCAGATCGTGGAGCATGGCCTCACCGAGGAGGAGAGCATTGCAGCGGCGGCACTCACCAATCTAAGGAACTGCGCTTCCGTCATACAGCACACAACGATGGCGCACTAAACAGAGAGAGACAGAGAGAGATAGTCCATGAGTGAGTTTTGAGGTTGAGTTTTACTTAAGTTTTAGTTATAGTTTAAGTTTTAGTTATTAGTTATACACACCCACCCCCCTTCCCACCAGTGAGGGGGGGCCGCAACTGCAGCTGAAACAAACCAAAGAATTTAGTTTTACTCGTGGCATAGAAGACGCCTCTATTTTATCACTTAGTTACACATTAGTTAGTTGTAATGTTTGTGTTTAGTTGACGATTTCGTTTCCATTACCCAAAATGAGTTCAATTCTAGTCAAACTCTTTCCCTCTGCCTCTGCCTCTCCCTCGAGAGAGAGTGAGAGAAAGAGTCTCCTTCGAACTTCAGTCAAACATTCCCCCAATTGTCTTTAGTCTCTAGTTTTTAGTCAGTGTTTAACCAAAGAATATGTGGCACTAGTCAGCTTCAATATGATCTCGTACCAGGCAGCAGGCATTTCCAATACCATTCCCCCTCTAGTCATTAGGCATAGATACTCGTAGATATCTCTAGTCATTTAGGAGCAGAACGGAAGCACAGCAGAGTCCTCTAGTCAGTGAAAAAGGAGTGCAATGCAACACCTTAAACTCTCTTGATCTATATTCATGCTTTAGCCTCAAACTATTCTCTTCAAACCTTCATGCATCTCTTCTCATATTCTCATCTAAATATGCCTCATTTTCAACACATCTCTAAGTCATTTCCGATCATCTTTATCCACTTGTCACTCTCTTCACTCACCATTTCTCTTCACATTATTTCACACTCATCATTCTTTACTCATCCTTTCTACCCCTTGTATTCCATCTTTCCATCTTCTATTCTCATCTTTCATTAATCATCTGCCCCTTCTGCCTCATCATTCCATTGCTTCATTACCACTTTATTCCCTTCTATATCTTACCCACATATCATCCATTTCTAAACCCTGCCGCAAACCTTCTTCTTCATGTCTTTTCTAGTCCTTAGTTCTACTTGCATCTCCTTCTAGTCATCATCTAGTCATAGATATTTTATAGTCAGGCCCCCCCCCCCACCCATTTCGATCTCGCTCTAAGTTTTGTACATGCTAAAAGATATATCTTTTCTTCAATTTCGGCTACAGCTTTAGTTCTACATATAATACGTACTCTAGATATTTCTCTAGTTATTTTTTAAATTTAAAACCAAAAAAATTCAGGCGAAAATTGTGCAGTAATAGTTTTTAAGTTCGAAAAACCAAACCAAAAACCAAAAATCTTTAGTTTAGTAAAAAGGCAGGAGAAACCAGTGTTGCTATAAACCAAAAAAAATTCGAGTGTGAACTCTAGTCATTTTTTCATAGTTAGCAACGTAAGATGGGGAGTGCCCCCGTCTGTCTGTATGCATCTGCGGGTAGCTCCCCCTTCAATTCTTCATAGCCATTCCACCCACCCAGTTATAGTGCTAGTTTTAGTTTAACTTTAGTTTTAGTTATAGTTTTAGTTTATGGACATTACGGACCAGCGTCTCACTACCAGTCAAAGTATTGAAAATAGTACAACACGTCTAGCTATAGAACGGACACACACTCCTCGTCGTATGTACTACAGGGTGGGCTATCCATCCATCTATCCTGTATGCCAGAGGCAGAACAGAACCTGCGGTTGTGTACTTAATTACTTACTAAAACCCTAAACACAGAGAGGGATACAGAAAGGGTGGAGAGAGAGAGAGCAATATCACAGCATTATTGTTCCTTCAAATGAAATGTATAATTATAATTTTAAATGTAAAAAAAAATCGGTTGTAACCCCTGTAACACACCAGAGTACAACGAAACAAATGGGAAACTTTCGCTCAAAAATAGAACATAAGTTATAAATATACAATCCATATACGATCTATATATATATATACATATATGTATGTAGGTATCTAATATATAGGTATAATATCAATGGATAATCTCATATCTAAAATGGTTGATGATCGATGATTCTTGTGATACTAAACGTTTAAGAAGCTAAGCCTAAAGTTTACAAATTACAAATTAAAAATTACATAAAGCAAAATGATTTTATACGTATTTTGTCTGCTCGCTCGTTTGTGCATTCAACAATAAGATGAACAAATACAACAAATATTTTTGATATACGTAATATTATAGTACACCCACCCGCCACGCCCCCATTTACCTACCGCCCATATACATATGAATATTTACATACCCCCGCCCCACCACCCCACCTCCACAAAGCCCCATTAGATTATACATATATTTTTATAAAAACTTCATTGAAAAATCTATACAAAATTGAAAAGCGTAAATATTTTTGGAATTAAAATAAAGAAAACTGAAAGAAAACAAAAAACTTTTATTATTTTGGAAAAACGTACTAAAAAGGGAGTTTTAGAAATTATATAGATGAACTTTATATACAGCAAGTACCTGACAAAATGCTGAACCAAACCAAAGGCAGAACTTGTAGGGTCTCCTCACGACCTACTGATGGAGAGGGGACGCTGCCACGACGCGTATTCTTCTCATTTTAATTCTATAAAGAAATATAGAAATTATCAAAACTGAAAGAGCAATAATTAATCGTTTTGTTATTGTGGAAAAGTAGGATTCGTCTTTGCCTCTATTGATCCAATTATCCGGCGTCGATCTTCTGCTGGGTTTGCATGGCCTCGTTGCTGGCCAGCAGACTACCATCCAGGCCTCACGTCGCATGAATCTCTAAGTCTCTTATCTGGGAAGAACAAAATCTTTTGGGCCTGCTCAGCAGCAGATGAAGAGGGCCTCGAACAGTCTCTGCCCACTCCATATCCCTGATGAGCCTCGATAGGCGAAAATCTCCATTAAAATTTTATAAAAAGAAATATAAAAAAAGAAAACCAAAAAACTGAAAGCACAAACTTGTATGCTTTTGGTGTATATTTCGGTGCAACAAACCCCTGATCAGGGTCGAATAATCGTTTTATAACCAACCATCCATTCAACCTTTCAACCAACCATCCATCTATATATCATCAATGTGTGTGCGTGGTGTGGGGACCACTTAAAGACCTTCTAGTGTTTCATGTCCAATAATGCTGATGATGAGGTCCAAGAGGATGATTTTTCGTTTCGAAATAACGCTGCAGTTTTTCGTAAATGAAATGCCATTAAAGGCCATTGACATGGCCCATCGATCTGTGGCGTTTTTCAGGGGGTTATCGGGCTAAAAACAAATACCAAAACACACACCAAAACGCACTCCAACAACGGATGTGTGTGTGGATATCGATGTGTGTGGATAGAGGAGGTGGAAAGTGGAAGTGGCATTGTTGGACAGATGCAACTTGCGCCTAAGTACACAAATAATCATCATAGTAGAGCGGAACAGGACTCTGTCTAGGGGTGCGTCCTGCATAGGGGGTGTGGGGGGTGGGAATGGATTGGATGGGGTGTGGGTGTGGGTATGCGTGTGGGTGTGTGAGTGCGGGTGCGGGATGCGATGGACCAAAATTGAAACCCTAAACTTAAGCAACTAATGATGTCGCCCCCCCGTTCCCAGCGGAAATGCCTAAAAAACTGTTTAATCAAACGCGAATGCATGACAGGCACGGCACGGCATAAAAAAATTATGAGCAAACAGGAAGGATATATGCGAGGGTGCAGCAGCAGCAACAGAGGAATTTCTAGTGCCGCGAGGGGTAGAGGGTGAGAGCGCTGAGCGCTGTGCGTGTGCGGTGTGAATCAATTTAAAGCGTCAAAAGAGCCATATAACGATTTACGGAGATGTCCTTCGATCCATCCAACCATCCTTCCATCCACAACTCAACGTCCGACAAAGGGTGTTGCGTTTCCAAGTGAAATTATGTAAAATCATGCCGACAAACTACCCTCACACAGCAGGGGGCGGGGGGTTGCAATGCAGCATCTGTGCCACACAAAAAAAAGAACGTGGTAACGTGGAAGGAAGGAAGGAAGGCAGGAAGGGTACCTGGAAAGGTACCCGTACTCTGATACGGCGCGTATGTGGCAAGGTTGCAGTTTGCACCTTGGCCGGCGGCACGAGGCATTCCTCTAGTGGGCCCGCATGATATGTGGACGCGGCGGCTGCCCAACAAGTATCGGCTTTTCTGCGGGTTCCCAAAACGGCTGTTTTCAGCTGTTGTATCCTTAGGATCTACATCTCTCTCCCCCCTCCTAAACATATCACACACGAAATGCGGAATTATGCTGTCCAGCAATCATCTTGAGTTTCATGTTGCGCTGCTAATTTGCACCTTGAGAGGATCCATCCACTCCGAGGGTCTCTGGTCTCTAGAGTCGGCAACATTTGGGCGTTGCGCAGACGCACAAGACGCTTTATGCAGGTCCTTTGTTTGTCCTTTGACCCAAGTGGCTGGCTGTAGGGTCGCGCAGATTGATGCCACTGATTGGTTTTCAAAGAGTGAAATTGATGCTGAAGTGTCGCTAAGAGTCCTCCACCTTGATTACCATTATCCTTGCATCTAACGGTAGCACGGCTTGAAAGCTTTCTTAAGCTTTTCGAGCCCGCATGCAACCCTGCAGCCTGCTGCCTGCTGCTGTGGCAGCTGTCACAAAAATTGCAACTCTGTGGCGTGCTGCCAGCAAGTGGACATTTCCCCCACGCCAAACTGTCAAAACTGACGAAAATAACGGTTTATCGAAGGATATTCTCTCTCTCTCTCTCGAATGAGGGGAGCCACGAATGAATGGAGAGCGAGAGAGAGAGCGCCACGCACGACACTGGAGCCGGAATTCCCATCGCTCTCGCACACCTGACATTCATGTTGTGGCGACGCTGTAAGTCAGACGTGTGGAGCGCATCCTCTCGCATCCATCCACCAAGTCGAATCGCAGTGCAAAAGTTTCTGTTGAAGAAAAAGAGTTTGAGGAGAGACACCAAAAAACAAAAAAGAAACCCTCGAGGCGTCGCGTCCGTGAACGTTGAACGGTGTACGCGGTACTAACGGTACTCGAACCACCCACCACCCCTTTTCGCGGCCAATCCTTTGTGCCTGTGTGTGTGTGTGTGTGTGTTTGTTTGGAAAAGCGGAAAATCCTGGTGTTAATTTGCTGGAAGAGCCACAGAAAAACATGAGACATGAGACATGAGACTCCCCTTTCAACAGGGTAGTGGGGCAGCGAAGAAAGCATGTGCTGGTGGTGGGTGGTGGTGGGTGCTGGTGCTGTGGTTTGTTAAGGGTGTCCTCCCCCAGGGGGGGGGGAGTCTGTGAGAGCGAAAGCTTTATTGATTGCGAGCTTTGGTCCTTGCTTTGTCTCTCTCTCTCTCTCCGCGAGAGCGCAAAAAAATAATGGTATTTTTGTGTGAGGCAAAGCTGCAACGTGTGTGGCTGCCATTGCGTGTGCTTTTGGCTACAATTTTTCATACGAGAATTTTTTCAGTCATTCTCCCGTCTGTGTTTTAGGGCGGTTCCGCCACAGGCAGCAGGCATCAGGCAGCAGTCGCAGTCGCAGCCCCACTTCGAGAAGAGGAACTCCACCATACAACAGTTGAACCGCGTCTGAAAATTCCACTTGCCACTTGCCACTTGTACGTCGCGCGTCATCGCCAACCAACAAAAAAAAAAAGAAAAAAAATATCCAAATTAAATGTGCAACATTTGTGTTGGCAGGCAGCAGCGATTAAAACTCGAAAACTTAAAAAAGATTTGCAGCCCAAAAAACAAAACTTGAAAGCAGCCAAACAAAAGAAGAACAGGAACAGAGAGAGAGAGAGAGAGAGTTTTGTTATTATTGTTTGAATGTGTGTGGGCCCAGGAGTTGCTTTCTTTGTCAGTGTGTGTGTGTGTGTGTGTCTGCTCCTTTTGCTAGTGCCTGTGTGTGTGTGTGTGTTCTGTCTGTGTGTCTGCTGGTGCCTTGTGCCTTTATGTTTTTGTAAAATTCAATAAAAGTGCAAAAAGTTAATGCAATTGCCATAAGAGCTACAATCAACAACAAAAAGCCAGACTTAACCACACACACACACACACATAAAGCAGCAGGGAGACACGCATACACGCATACACGCATGGAAATTTCAGTTTCAGAAATTTCTCATTTTTCGCGTAGTTTTCATTTTCTCCTTTTGCGGGACTCAGCGGGCTCTGCTGTGGCTTCTATCCCCCCATCCCCCCATCCACGTCTCACTCGGTGTATGTATGTTTGTGTGTGCTTTCTCTCTTTTGTGTGTGTGTTTGTGTGTGTGTGTATGATGTCCTTCGTCCTGCTTACGTACGCAGACTGAGTGACTCGATTGAGGCGAATGGGCTGCCTGAATGGCTGGCAGTGTCGCCGCCGTCGCCGTCGCCGCCGCCGCCTCGCGTCTCACAAAAGTCTCTCGTCTCGTGCTCTGCTCTGCTCTCAACTGCTCTTCCTCTCCCTCCCTCCCTCCCTCCCTCCTCAACCCACTGAAATGAATGCGTATTCAATGAGCAATGAAATCCGTGACACATTCGCGCCTTCTTTCCGCTGGCTGCTGCCCCGCAGCCTCCATGCCAGGCCTTCTGCTTCACAGATTTTTGTGTGATTGCAGGGGTTGGGTGGGTGGGGGGTGTCCCTGTGCATTTTCCATTTAATTTATTTTTTATTACTTGCCATTTCGCATTGCTTTGTTCTTTTGTCCGATTTTCCGTTTTAAATAAAAGCGATATTAACACCCAGAACCTTTGACATTTAAGGCTCACCGCTCACCGCTCGACTTGTGTCTGTTAAATGCTGTGTCTGTGTGCCACATGTGGCACATAAGCAGACCTGCATTGGGTGGGAAAGTATTTCATATATTTTTTGATTTGTGGTTTGCTTCCACTCTCTGGCATTTCCTTCTTCGAATTCCTTCTCTCTGAACTTGTACCCCTACTTTGTGTGTGTGTGTCTGTGTGTGTAATATTTTGATAAATTTGCTGAATTTCCATTGTGTTCCATTTTGTTTTGCAGGCATCAATAAGTGAAAACCATTAATTGAGAATCGTGTACTCGTGTACTGCCCAATAAAATACCGCTTAAAACTTTATGCCAATGTCCAGTGCCTTCTGCGGTCTAAACGGAACACCACAAACTGCAAGTAGCATAAAACAATCAAAAATAACAGTGTGAAAAACTTGTTGGAGTCCGTCAGAGAGACAGAGAGACAGAGAGATTGATGTGAGTGAATCGCAGAGGAAGAACGCTAAACCCCCCTGTCTGAGATAGCCTCCAGGTAAGTCATCTAAATCTGTACTTAAACTACATATGTATGAAACCTAGGGTAGAGTAAATACAG